TTATATTATATTATTATATATTTATATATATAATTATATTTGATTGAATTCATGCTTATTCTTTTACATTTATATTTATAATTTACATTTATAATTGTTTAATAACATAATTGAGGAATGTTTTTCATTTGAGAAAAATGAAGGCAATTTCAGTTTATTTCTTTTTTTAATATCTATAAAAAATATTATTTTTTAGCATTTCGGAAACAATCTTATCCAATCGAGTGAGAAAAAAGTACGGAAATTTGCCATAACACATGCTAGACTAACATCCTAAATGCTTTCATCTTTATCATTTATATCTTTCTCTTCTAACAGCTCTAATAGCTCTAAGAACTCTCACCATTACTGATTAGGCTGCCTCCAACGGCTACAAGGGTAAGACGCTTGCACGCAGCGTGGTCTGATACTATCATCGAGAGTAATAGAAGCCATTCCTTTTCCATCGTATATATGAAGTAGAAAAAGGTGGATGGACGAATTGTTAATAATTTGAGTGAATTCCTTCCTTTAAGTCATTCTTTTCTGATTTCCTTAATCGTAATATTATTAATGGTTATTTTAAAAATTTTTAAGAAGGATAGAGAAGGCTATTAAAAAAGGCACATATGGAATGTTTTACAAATCTTCTGTTGTCCTACTTATTCCCCACAAGTGTGGCGCTTGGATTCGATATGCTTGTGGATGGATGCCTTTGCTGCCTTGCATGGATCTTCTCATAAAAATTTTATATTTTCTTTTTTCTTCCAAAAGCTCTTCCAAAATCAGTTGCATTCCGCTAATTGACTATTCGTATATAGAATTTTCCGAAATATTACAATATTCAATTTTTTTCCACTTATGAGAAAAAAATGTGAACAATTTATAAATTAATTTAATTAAATTAATTTACTAATAATTAATTATTAAGAATTATTATTGTTTTCGATAAACTTCTTCAATCATTCATTAATGAATGCGAAGTGAATCTCAACAATGCCTTAGGCATAAATATTATTACTAATGCGTTCGTTTCCATTGCCAGAGGTGTTGTTTGCTTATGAAATGCATAAAAATAAATAAATAAACAAAATACTACGTACTTTAATTTTAACTTTCTTTAATTTTTAGAGTTCTTTTCAGGAAGACCAAATTTATGTCAATAGTCTTTTAATATATTGGCTAAGGTTTTATGCCAACATGAATATGGGTATAATCAATTTGGTATAATCAGTTGTTGATAAACGATTTTACGGATGACTTTAAATATTTTCTCATTAAAAATAATGGGAAAATTTAGGACATTATTAATCATTATTAATCAAAGATATGCGTTCATATTCAAAATTTAAATAAATTTTTGGAAAATTTATTTTTTGAAAATAATAAAAGATGGTGAAAAAAATTTTTTTTAATTATTAAAATTATCAAATTAAAAAGATTTTTTTTCGAAAATTTTAACGTTAAGCGGTCTATTTGAATATATTATTTGAATATTCTAAATCATTCGCTTTCATGGCGATTTTTGCAAAAAAATCTCTGAAATTTGCACTAACTGGTGCTATTGGTGCAGCGGTGATTTTAAGTGGAGCTTATTATTATTATTTCTATTCCAGAAAAATTAAAGAAAATCCATTAGATAGAGAAAAAAAGGTAATTCCAATATTCAAAATTTACAAAATTATTGATGTTTTTGATTGAAATAGTGGATAATTTCATTCGTCCATTCTAAATGTCCGATGTTCGATTAAAAAAACATTAGAAAAAGATAGTTCAAAAAAAGGCCGATACGAGTTGATAAGTTCCTTGATAAGATTTTCATTCGAATTTTAGGATAAAAATTCGGTTGCATCTAAATCACCACGAGATGCCGAAGCTTTTGATAAATCGTTAATTAAACTAGCAGAATGAAAAGAAATACACTCAGCTAAGAAAGATTTATTGAAATTTATTGATATGGTACCATGCAAAAATTGATGAAAAATCGATTCTTATACAATGGTGATAAATACAATGATAATAACACAGTGATAATAAAATGATAATCTTTTTTACTCACCATTTTTCATTCGCTTAAACCTTTAAAAAAATAATTGAAGTTAATTTTGCGAAATTGCGAAAAATTAACCAGGCATAAATTTAAATTTAAATTTGTATCGAATTTGTATTTGTACTTTGAAAAGTTGAATGATCGCTTTTGTTACTTCTCTTAGCTTGAAGGAGAAGTATCAATCGTTTTCTTCGCTTTTCTACCTAAGTTCCAATATTCTGAGGAAAACTAACAATTATCAATTATCAGTTATCAATTATCAATTATCAGTTTCATTGGATGACTTTAAAAATTTCGTCACGAAAAATAATATTTATTGAAAGTAATGTTGAAAATGCAAAAAAAAATTTATTTAAAAAATCATCATCGGAAATTATCCATTACGAAAACATTCATTCATTTTTTTGATTTAATTTTTATTTCTTTAAAAAAAAAACGATGCACCAAGCAATGGAATGGCCTTTAGATAAAAGCACTGGCAATGCCAAGAATGATGTACCATTTTAAATATGGAACCGAAAAAAAAAAACGACCACATATTTCAATCAAATCCATGAATTTATCTATTAATTTAAGAAGATCAATCATTAATGAACAATGAGAATCTTTTTTAAAATGCATTCTTTAGTAAAGAAAATTAGGAATCATTCAAAATTTGGCCAATATGAACGAGGAGAAAAATTTTGAAAAAAAAAAAAAAGAAAGAAAGCCAATTTGGTTTGAAAATTTTTAACGTTGAATTGACGATTTTAATTTGTTTGAATTGACTTGATTTTTAAAAAAATCCTAAATCATTCAATTTCATGGAAAATAGAACAATCACGAGAATCTGCGAATATCACATTTCCCTTTTTGCTATAAATCAAGATTTTATTAAGTCAAATTTAAAATTCGAATGAAAACTCGGATGAAGAATTGTAAAATTACAAAGTTTTGTCATTTAGTTGGCATATAATTGCGAATACTCGGAGAAAAACCGGTAGTGCACATTTCAATTTTTTACAGACTGGTACCAATGGTTTTTTAAATAATTTAAAACGTTACTGTACCGACTAAATGCAGAAATTTCGTGAATTATTGAGAAGCCTATTACATAAAATAGCCAAATCCAAATAAACAATCATGCTGACACGGTCAAGATGTTGTAAAAAACTTAGAAAAGAATAAATTTAATTTTTAAGAAGTTTTTAAGAAAACCATAATGATATCCTCGAACTGACTACCAATACCAATACTAATAGTACAAAATATTACGAAGTGTCTTTTATGTATCTAAATAATAGGGTATATTTGAAAATGAAACTATACTGATTACCACTTAACATAAACCACATTTCATTTAAATATATTAAATTTAAAAAATTTTTTAACAAATAACATGAAGAACGAATGAAATGGTGCGAGCTGCAAGAAGAAAGATGAATCACCTGGGGAACAATGGCACATCTTACCTCCATACCTTTAAAGGGATTCCATTTTTAAATATAAGCTTATTTTACTCATGCCAAAGGTTAACACTGAACAAAGAGATTAAATTAAAATCATCCACCATGTAAAGTTGATATAAAAGTTATTGTGTCACCATCTTTTAGTTCAGTTGACAACTGTGAAAGTAATTCCCAGTCGGTATCATTGATAAGTACCAAAATGCCAGGTCGTACAGTTTCTTTCTCGACCAAAAGGAACGCTCTGCAAAATATGAAAAAATATTTTTCTTTTTCAGAAATATTTAACATTTTCAGAAATATTTAAATATTTATATATATATATATATAACAAATATTTATATTTATTTTAAACCATTCTCTTAATCGGCAGATCAAATTTAAAGAAATTTATTTTTGAAATTAAATAAAAATTTATCATAAATGTAAATATTTTATTCATAAATATAAAATATGCGAGAATTTTAAATGGAATCGCTTAGTGGTTTATTTTAAAGCAAATTGGGTTCTTATCCAAGAAAACCCCGTATTAAAAATAGAATCCAGGTGGCAACTGAGAAGACACCTTTAAAGAAGCTAACTCCCTGATGAATAAATAGCCAAGCAAACCAGAAACAGCGCATAAACGCGTCATCAAACTTTTTTTCCAAGAAACATGGACCCTCTCCCCGAATGGACCCAATATTTTTAAGTTTCGAAATTTTATAAAAATAAAATAAATAATTTTTTAAATTTTATAAATTTTATTTATGAAATTTTGAAATTTTTCCACTTAAGAATTCCAAATGAATATTATGAATTGCGTAAAATAATTATTAAAAAAAAATTTCTCACCATTAACCTGAAAGTTACCAGAGGTCGTTCAGAAAGGAATGTAATTCGAATTAGATTCTCAAGATTCACCACAAAGTTGCCATGGATCCCGGAGGGTCACTGCCAAAAGCCTATTTAATTACCATCGTAAAAAGTTAAATAAAAAGAATTTAATAAGGAAAAAAACGGACCGATCTTTATCAACAATTAAATTTTCTACAATCCATTTCAATAACATTGATATCGTTAAAGTTTCTTTAGGTGGAAAGGTGACTTCATGATATCGTTTATTATTAAATAATAATTCAGCACCGCCGGCAAATTCCAACCTCAAATTCATTTTAATTTAATGAATCTGGGCTGCAATATAGCAATTGCAGCTTCTCTCCTTAATCGCTGTTTTTCCTTAATCGGTAAAATCCTTGCAAGGGTTCTAGAATAGAATAGTAGTTCAGGTTATGTTGTTGGAGGGGAAGGTGGTGGTGGGGGGGGGGGGGAAGTGAGGTTCATCCTCTCCACATAGAGATTCTAACAAGTCTGGTTGCTGCTGATTTCTGGTCTTTTGTCGTTAAATGGCTCATCTAGCAAAAATTTTTCAGACTTTACAAATAGTTAGCGGAGCGAGTCTAATTTGAAGTGATGACAGTTGATAAGTTGATAAGTGATAATTATTTACTTATTTTTTATTTGCTTGGCTCAGCTATTCAGGATTAGACTTCTTGGCGATTAAAATTTTCAAATGAGGTTACCGCTCAAAAATTCTTATTTCTATCAAAGATTTAGTCATAATTTGTTGTAGAATCAGGTATTACGCATTTGGCTCATTTTATTAAAATAACCAGTATAATCAGCCAAATCACAAATGATAAGCGCCTAAATTATCAGTTGTTCCTAACGTACTTACAAGATTTAAGTTTGGTGGATATATAAAGAGATATAATGGGATGTGTTAAGAAAGTTTATCAGATTCTCCTGATAAGCCAAAGAATCACTTTGCATGATCTATGAGATTTAAGAGGACCTTACTGTTACTGATTTGTGACGATATTCATTAGAACTGAAGATCAATGGAGTACTGAAGGCAGATATTAGACAAAGTGAGGGAGGGTTTTGAGGAGGGATTTTCGTTAATTTTATGAATATCAGCTGGTTCCATCTCTTATCCATTAATTTGCCACCAAATAGACGCAACCATTGTATTCTAAAAGGTTTGCGATGGTTTTAAAGGAGAAGTGTAAAAGGACCGAAAAGAATGTCAATGGATACATTTTTCAGTTAAATGAACCTTAGGTTAGCAGAAGGATGGTTGAGCGCTAAATTTTATGGTAGAAGAATGTGATGAGATGAAAGCGGAGGGAATCAAAGAAACAATCGGGAAGGGGGATATTTAGCTAAGTTCGAGAACTTTTTCCTCAAAATATAACAATGTCGTGTTTTTTTCGCTCATAGTGTCATAGCACCTTAAAATAGCCAATTAGTTATTTGTAATAGATTGGAGTAATGAACGAGGCGGACGTAGAAGCACTTTCCAGTGGTGAACGAATGTCTATGGTGAAAGTAGTGGATCCAGTTGATAGGTACACTGCGATCGCTGTCAGAGTTGGTTTCTTTTCATTATTATAGCCTTTACTAATCATTTTTATATTTTTTATATAATTCTTAATCTTTTTTTTTAAATTTGCTTTTATACATAAAATCTTTTCAGAAAAAAACATTGAAATTCATTATATTTTTTAAAATATTAGTATTAAATATTAGGCCTATATTTTCGAAATAATGTGGGCCTAAACTCGATATTTTTATTGCTACATTTTAGGGTGTAATATTGGGCGCAGGTCTGGCTGGATTCGCTTTATTTATCCGAAATTCTCGTCTGGTTTGTGGAATTTTTTTATTTATTTCTTTATTTTTAAAAAAGATTTATAAAATTTCGAAAGTCTTGAAAAAAACAGTTTTATAAAATTTATTTATAAATGCATTTTTTTAATTTTGAAGTTTTTGATTAATTTAAAGTTTTAGATATTTAATTATAAACCTTCGTAATAGTTTATAGATATTTCCATTTGTCTTTCGTTAAAAAAAACTGCATTTTTGTGAACTGTTTTTTATTGCAAACTATTTAAATATTGCAAAATTGCAGTTTGCAAAATTCTCAAACGCTTCGCAAATTCCTGAAGATTATTTGAGAAAAGAATTAACAATGAAGGGTAAGGTTAGAGAAATCGTTCCGGATGGGATCCTAAAGATTGAGCATGAGCCGTTAATAAAACTTCCAACAATTTTGCGACGTCCACTTCATGTATTTGTTTTCATTAAAATCTCGATATTTTAACATACATTTGAGATATTGAGAGATATTTATATCTCTTCTCTTCACTATTGATTTTATTAAATTTATTAAGTTTTTAATGAAGATTTCTTAGAAAATTCTGTGATTTATTTTCCACTAAGTTTAAGTTTAGCTTTCAACAACGAAGAATTTATGGTTCGCGAATTCTTCCTTTCGAAAAGCTGTTAAAAACAAAAACAAATGGAATGATAGCTGAAACGCTTAATACATATTTGTTGATTGTTAGGCAGGATTCATTGATGTTCGCCTTGCTGGATTGGATATATCAGCAGCAGGCTTGGAATATCTCTCAAAAGATATTGGCCTATTAAATAAAAACGTTCAGTTCACTGTGATCAAGCACGGTTCGTCCAACTTTGTAGATGCTGAAGTTTTGATTAAAAAGGTATGAAGAAATCAATTTAATCAATTATCAATTTTCTTAATTTTTGATTAGAAATTTTTGATTAGAAATTAATTTTGATTTTTTTTGGCACAACAAATTGAGAATATTAAAGATTTTATATTGAATCAGCTAAAAAAATGGCTGCATGATTTTCAGAATTTCTTTCATCAAACCAATTTAAACATTGATTTGGTTCGTCGAGGATACGCTAAAGTATTGGCTTTAGACCAGAGAGAGCACTATAAAGCCTTGCAATCCGTTCCTGCTTATTCTAGGCTTATTTCTAAGCTAATAATGTCAGAAAAGGTTTATCATTGCATATGTATAGAGTAATTCTTCCATATTTAATTTAAATTTTTTTAAAATTTTTACAATGATTTGAAATAATTCAAAAATTTATGCTGATCCTAGTTGTTTTCTGTCAGATTGCTGATATTCGTGGAATTGGCATTTGGAAGCGCGACACATGGGTTGAATCTCTTGCTGCTTATCCTTCACAGATTATCCATATTATTAAATTTTCCGCTATCACACAACTTGCAGTAAGATATTTGAATTTGGTCTTATTTTTCAAAATTAAAATTTTTTCAGTGGATATTAGTTATTCTTTATTTCTTTCATTGGTCTATCTATATTTCTTGCTGATTATGGCATAATATAGAAATATATTTTATCAAATTTTTATCAAATTATTAAACTTTTCAGGTACTACTTTTTATTATAGCAAGAGATATGGCTCAAGTTGCTATTTCATGCAGTAAATTCATTTACAATCATTTACAAATTGGTTGGCAATATTTGCTAAAGTTTTATGGGCAATTCGCTAAATACGTCGAAAAACTATTTCAATTATATAATAATACTAAGAGAAAGCTAATTAAATAATGAAACTATGATAAATTTCTATGATAAACTATGATAAGTTTTCGCATTTTAGGAATGAACCACTGTGCAACTAATTTTAAATTTTAAATAAATATTAAGGAATATTGTGCATATTGCACATAATAAATACTTATTTTTATGTCCGTTTTATATGTTTATTTACGTAATAAATAGAAATCGTCGTCGTTTTGATGAAAAACATCGCCAATGCATAAAATTATTGAAAATAATCGTTATCATCAATCTTCTAATTTTTAGTGCATTTTTAAAAAAATAAATTTTTTAAATTCTAAGATTTGAATTTATTGATAAAATAAATTTTAATTGAGAAAATAATTTTTAGAGTTTCAACTAAATTTCGCCATTAAATGAGAATACATTGTATATTAATATAAATATATATTTTAAATAAAAAAAAAATTTTCAAATAAAATTCAATAAAAATATATAATTCATCATAATATAAATAAAAATTAAGATATTTTTGTATTTTTTATATTAAAATTTTTTCAAAAGATTTTTAAAAAGTAAATTTCAAATGTAAAATTTATATTTTTTAAAATTTTACTTTAATTTTTTTTTTAATTTTTAATAAATTTCATAGATTTAATTTGCCCTAAATTTAACATTTTAGAAAAAAATGCTTCATTGCGTAATGTAAATTCGTTGTCTGCCACATAAACATATTTTATGTGTTTCAATATTTGATCGTTCGAGCTATAATGATCAATCATTTGCGATTTGCGATCGACTTTACCCGAATTCAAGTCTGTCCGTGTCCTCAGATTAAAAAGGCCTTAAAGGCGTAAACCCCGTAAAGAGACGCCATAGGTCCCATGTAAATGACGTTAGAGCCGTCTGAACAATGTGGATCCCGTCCAGAGTCCACGTTGATCGCAAACCCGATCGGCAATACCGCTATTTTCTATCCTATAGTTCATAGATACCATGTAGTTGGTTCATTTCTCTCTCTTAATTTCTCTAAAAATTCCCTAGAAATCTGCTATATTCTCCTAAAAATGACCGACGAAATGATTTTCGTTTCGTTTTCTCAATGCTCCTTTATTTTAAATATTCGATAAAATAAATAAGTGTTGCTGATCGCGTTAAGTTTTTAGGAGAGTTGTTTTTTATTGGATAACCAAGAAATATTTATCAAATCAAATCATCGATTCAAGCATTCAATTTTTTTTATACAAAATTTAATATATAGTTTTGTTTTCTATCGTTTTATTTATTTAGCTTTTCATATATACATAATTTTTATTATATTTATCAATTTATCATTCAATCTTATCATTAATAAATTTTTATAAATTCCGCCTAATCATTATCAAATGAAATCTCATTGATAATAATCAATAATAAAATCAGTGGATCGGCATTTTGCAATTTTCATCAAATAAAACTAGTTTTGTAGTTGTTTCATATTTTTCGATTACCCAAATTACGATTTCATTGGATGTGAACTATACTGATTCTACTGAATTTGAAATTATGCTAATGGTAGAGTGGTACAGAATTTGGAATCCAAGTTTTCCATTTTCCATTTGCAAATGATTTTGAAGTAGTGAAAGAGTATTTTAGTCTCATTTTAGTAGCCAATTAGGCCACAAATTACGAGTATTAGCTGTTGCAATTACTAAATTATTAATCAAAAATTTTAGAATTTTTCTAGGATAATTCTCGAGAAGTATGGAAACGATGCTCAACTTTTGAGTTTTCATGCTAGGCTCATGCATGAATGCATGAATGTAAGTATGCGTGTTTATGAGGATTTTTATTAATTTTATCAGTTTATCAGTCTTAGAAATGGAAAGAAATGGTCTCAAACTGGCGAGATCTTGGCCATTTTTAATGGATTCATTCTTCTGATAAGCTTGAAAATTTGAAAAATACATTTTTTAAAAATCTCCTCTGATTTATTAACCATCTTAAAAATCTTAACATCTTAACATGATGTCCATTTATTTTTTTCTTTATTTGCATTCATCCATTGATAATATTTTTCTTGAGGACATTTTTTGAAACAATTGTGACACTTTGCTGTTCTTTCCTATGGGAAATATTGTCTTTAACTTTTGAGATTTGGGATACGGAAAGGAATATTACAGGTCTAATCGATAAAACTATCCAATGTTTATTTTTTATTTTTCAATCAACATTCATTGATCATTTAGTATTTGCTTTTTTTCCCACCCCCTCGCCTTCCTCTCCCCCTCCCCCCCTCCCGTTCCGTTAGATTATCTCAATTTATTCATTGTATTTTCGAATGCCTGAACTAACTAACTATAATCGGCAACTAATGAATTTTTTTCCAACTGTACTATCAAAAAAAATCACTATTACGCTGTGTGTTTTACCTCACTATTCTATAAAATATTTTCATATGCCGTAAAAGTTAATTAATTTACTTGGCTAATAACTATTTTAGGCTTCTTTTTTGGCTTATTTTATCATTTATTTTATTGCTCAACGTTTTCTCAACGAAAAGGATCGAGTAGAATTACTGTAATTAGAGGGCGCAATAACTGAGATTTTTTATTGCTTTGGCTTCAAAAAGTGAATACCATAAAAGAAATCTTTTACAAATTTGCATATCCTCTATTCCCCCTGTGAAAAAAAAAGATCCCATATTAGTAGTAAATAGACTCAGAGGCGATGTACAATTAGAAGCGAGGAGGGCCAGTCAAGGCACAATCAGGAAAGATTTTGAATTTCGTGTAGGTGGATCAGCGATATATGAATTCAAACGATGGAAAAAGGAATCGCTTCTATAACTACAAACGATGACGTCGCACCAAGCTTGGAAACCCTTGCCCTTGTAGTTAGCAAAGCTAACCTAATCAGTAATGGTGAGAACTGTTAGATGAAGAAGAAGGAGCTGAAGTTCCCTCCCCCTCCCTCCAGTGAAATAAACCTGTCCAAAAATCCAGGTGATGATGGGGATCTGTACCTCTGCTCCCACTTCTTAACATATTTGTTTGGTGCGACAAGCCAGAGCGAAGTGTGTTTAACCAGTATGGCACAGATGGTTCTTAAAAAAAAAAAATATGGTAATAATTATTCACTAGGTGATTAATTATGTCTATACATATTTTTTGGGATTTCGTTCGTAAATTTTATATGATTGCCATTACAAAAAAATTTCAATTTCATCGTTTTCAGCTTCATCATCCATTAATTACAAGCATCATTATAATTCTGTACTATTACACCAATTATTTTTTTTTACATTAGCCGGGAATTCTTTATCACTTATCACTATATCGATGAATATCGAACAAAACGTAATGGCTGACAATATATATACCACCGGTACAATTTACCTCATTATCATTGAATGCCTATTAGAACTATTATTCAATTACAAATAAAAAATCAGCTAGTAGGAGGTGATCGTCAAACTTCTAGGCTGCTTTGCATCCATTCTTCTTTTTTCTAGTGGCTTATTATTTGATTAAAGTGGCTCAATTGGTTGCAAGGTTAATATACTTTCAAGCAGCTCGACTATACTTGATGATAACAGTAACCATTCATTTTTTCTATCATCTAATCATCTGAATTTATATATCGCAACCTGGCCCTACTTATATATTTGCCATTTTTTCCTTTGCTGAATTTATTTTTATTGGTCCTTTTCAAGCAGAATATATTTCTAGCTGAGATTATCCAGGTTGCACTTGGGAATAGTTATGAGGGTAGCGAGGCTACTGAGCTAATGAAATAGATTGTGAAACTTAAAATTTTAAGGTTGAACTATACTATAAATTTACTGCTAGGTGTAAAACAATTTTTTTTCTCAAAGATTTTCAGTTAACGAATTTCAGAACGTCACGTTCTTTGCGTACACGTAGAACCCGTTGAAGTTGAATTGGATGATGATGGCGCCTTGCTTATTTCTGCTTTGCAGTCCGCATTGCCTGGTGCGTCAGGCCTATATTTTAATGAAAACTGCAAGTCGTCCGTCAAATTTGATGGTAAAAAACTGATTCCGCCAGCAGGTGGATGGAAAGATCGTAAATATTTCGCCACTTTGGGTAAGAAAAAAGCTTTTTTGATTAAACATATCATTAAAATGCATAATCAATTAATTATCTTAAAATTGAAATAAATTGATAAGAAATTGATAAGATAATTGATAAATCGATAAGAAATCTGTCCACTGTGGAATTTCAGCATAAAAAGTAGTCATTTCCAGGCTAAAAGTTGTTATTAGTTTCAATCCATCACTAAAATTTTTTCCATTTTATTAATCTTTGTAACCATATTAGCCAAAGAAAAACTTTTTTATAAAACATAGTACTTTAATGCAGTATATAGCAATTCGTTTTTAATGCATCTTATACAGAGTACCATAGTTATATATGTACCGTACTGTTTTCAGTTATTTCTAAATAGTTCAACAATTTTTTTTTTTTTTTTAAATATTCAGCAATAGAAGTACAAAAGGATTATTATCTGGACACCAGCACCATCCGGATTTTTGGAAAACATTTATTTTTGCTTAGAGAAATTGAGTCGTTGAGCCATTCTAGCTCTGTTTAATCTAAGATAGGAGGTTTTTTTTTCCATGAAACTTTTATATATTTAATCGTAATATTAACTGAGGTTGCCGATCGTTTGACTATCCGTTCGGAACGTATGCAAACGCTTCGAAACAATTTGAACGATCTGTTAATGCTGTACAGCGATTATTTGGTAATATTCGAGTATTTGGTTAGAGTTTTTCTTTTTTGTGTAAAAATATTTTAAATAGAAAAAAAATTCATTCATTTAAAAATTTTAAAGTTTTTACTATTAAAATTTTTTTTTTACTATTAAAAATAAACTAACTATATTTCCATTCTATTTCAAAAAAAAAAATTCTAAAGTTTTTATTAGAATTAAATAAATTTTAAAATTTTATTAAATTTTATTTTTAAGTTTTATTAGAATTAAATAAATTTTTAATTTTATTGCATATTTCAGATGGAAATATCTCGAAAGAACCTTTCGAATATCAAATAAAATCACAAAAAACATCGCTTTTAAATTCAGATATAACATCACAATTATCAAAAGCTGATAGTATGAAAAATTTACTCGATTCAATTTCGGTATTAGTCAAATTTATTAGTACCATAATTTATTTAAAGTACGGTAAGTAGTAAAAGTGAAAAGTGGATAGTAAAAGTAGTGAAATAGTAAATAAAATAGAGTTATGTTCAATTCTAATTGGGTTTGGTGGAAAATTTTAGGAGGATTATTAAAATAATAAAAAGACTAATGGATTATTAATTATTACTAATTCTTATTATTACCAGTTTTATTATTATTATTATTATTATTAAATTATTATTATTATTAAATATTATTATTACTAATCGGGTTTTCTAATGATACTTTTCTTTTCTTGTCGGAAGCAAACTCTTAAATATGGTTTCGTAATAAAATCATTCGTCTTTCCATTTTCTAAATTAAATATTTATCTTAAATATTAATTGACTAACATAATTTTTATTTATTTATTTTAATATTTAAATTCAGATTCTTATTTAGAAAAAGAAAATTGGTGTTGAATCGTCCGATGGAAATTTATTACCACTTGAACAACAATTTGTTGATTTAGCTGCAATTTCAACAGCAAAAGATAATTTAATTCAACAACAAAGAGAGGAAATTAAAAATATTTTAGAAAAATTAGAGAATAAAGAAAGGTTTATTTTTAGGATTTTTTTTGTTTTTTTAATGAATTTTTTTTTTAATAAATATTGAAAAATTAAAGCTGAAATAACAAAAGGCAATTTAATGAGAGTGAATGGTGAATGGTGAATGGTGAAAATGTTCCTTTTATTCTATTTTCTTAAATTAATTTCTTAAATTTTTCTATTTACATTTTAATGCATCAATTATTTAAATCTAAAATATGCACATAAATTATAAATTATAAATATTATTAATATATGTGTACATCGGTGGTGAGTAACAAATTTTTTACGGCCTTTATAACTCATATATATCAGTAAATGATAAGACTTTTCAGAAAAACGAATTATTACTGCCAATCAGTCGTAGTATATTAAATTGTTAAGTACAGAATGGATCAGTGGGGTTATCGTTCAGTTGGGAGCGCCGATCCTGAGATTCGATTTCCCGTAGGAGTAAACCTGTACAAAAATCCGGGTGATGCTGGCGACTCATCTGTATTTCTATCGCTAAGTGACTCCCTGGCATATTTGTCCAATGCGACAAGCCAGTGGAGCGAATTTAACCAGTGATAGTGAGGATTCTTAAAAAAAAAATTAAGATATAAATTTAGCAATAGAATTACGAAGAATAATGTTAATTTAATTCGAACCACATTATTAACAATATTTTTGATAAATAAAATTTTACAAATTTTTATCGAAAATTTACCGCACTACTCATTATCAGAACTTTAACTTATCACTGGTGTACACCAAAAGCCTTATCACTTGATCATAAAACTGAATAAGCGAGTATTTGAAGAACTTTGAAAGAAACCTGTGATGAATTAGCGCAAATACAAAGTCAATGTAGCGCCCAAGACGAAGAATTGTCGGTTTTGAGGAATTTAGGCAAGGAACATACCTATATGTGCGATAAAGTAATTTATTATTATTTATTATTATTTTTTTAAAAATTTCCTTAAATTTATTTTTTTAATTTGTTAAATTAGGTTTAGTATGAAAAAGATAGAATTATTCTAATCTCTATGCTATTTTGGTGTTTAACAAAATTGTTTCATTTGAATCTCTTGTTGCTTAAGATTGCAAATTTTTACGTGATTCTATTCATGACTCTCCTCTTTTCCTCGTTCTCTTTCCTTTTTTCCTTTCTAAGGAATTTTGTGATACATCGTGAAGCAAGACGATATTTTTAATCGACTTAGTCAAAATGTAATGATAATACTAGTAAACTTGCTTATGATAAAGTTACTGATACTAAAAAATAAAGTTTAATAAAGATATCGATTTAATAACCATTTAATTTAATAATTTAAATAACGATAATATTGATAATAATGACAATACTAATATTAATATTAATAGTAACCGATAATAATGATAATACTAATATTAATATTAATAGTAATAGTAATAATAAAATTGTATTTTTATTGTATTTTATTGTATTTTTGCATGAGTTTTCATACTATTTTATAAATTTTACAAATTTATAAATTTAGATATAATTTAAATTTTCAGATAAATGAATTAACAAAAAGATTATTGGCAAATGACGAAACAATAATGGATTATAAAAATGAAATAGATAAATTAAAAAATAGGTCCATATTTCTGTGTTTTTTTATTTTTTGTGAGATGAAATGGTTCTTTAAGGATACCGTTTGTGGACTATTTGTGGCAAAAAAAAATTGAAGAATTCTTATAATGAATTGTAAAGAAATATAAAGTATATATAAAAATTTTTTCATATTTCATCCAAAAAAAGAGACTTTTAAGCAAATTAAATTTGCTAAAAAAAGAAAATTTTTTTCACTAGGAATTTTTTTTTTTTTCATAAAACGAATAAATTTCATTAAATATTTTTTTTAGGATTTTGGAACTTGAATGTGAACAAAAAATTTCCACTACTAGAATTGTTGAATTGGAAACTGAAAAGCAAAAAGTTCATGAAAATTTGTTTTTTTTTCTTTTAAACTATTATTTCATCAAAATGTGGTATAAAATTAATTAATAATTAATTTTTAATTAATTTTAATATTAAACATATTAATTTTTCTTCTAACTAACAGCCATTAGTTTCAGCATTAGTTAGGTTTACAAGGATAAAACATTATAGAGCTATTCTATGCGAAGCCATTGCTTACACTAATAGAAATTATTCATTTTTCTATCGTCTAAATCCATATATTGCTTGAGCACTTAATGTTCAAAATCTTTGTTTATCCTATCCTACGACTTTCCCTTTTTTATTCGAAAAAATAGATTAACAGCTTGTAAAGTAATAAGTGATAATAGTTGATAATAAATCTGATTGTATTAAGCTTGATTGGCTCTCTTTTGACCCCATCCATCACTTAACAAATAACAAAATATATTCAATTCATGTGGTGGATGACGAAGAACATGGCCCTAATCTCTAACAGATGAATACAGCACTCTGTGATAATAGTGTTATTGGGTATTTGAGCGAAGGTGGATGTCATGTGAAATTTTATCTGCTCGCCGAACCCGTAAAATGTATCTTAGACACGTTTGGTCAAAGGCTGATAGCTTCTTCCATTGCCACTTGCCATGTTTTGCAACCATATAGCAAGATCGTGCGAATCGCAGCTATATGGACACAGGCGCAACGGCTCTTTAAGGGTTTCACCAATCGGAAAAACGGAATTAAATTTACTGTGATTTCGTTTTTTGCTTATTGGTTTCCCAATTTAATAAAAGATGTTTAGAAAAGTTTATTTACATTGATCCTGTGTCTAAATCTCGCTACAGTTGTCGACACATTGTTTAGCATTATTTGCATTTCGTCCTAACTGTTAGCAAAAAAGACGTCATAATCAGCGCATTCAAAGCTCGTGGTACTATACTCTGGAATACAATTTTTAACCGTCGAATACTGTCTATTATCCAGTCTATCGCAAATATTATAGAAAAAAGGACAGATACCACTTTTTATTTCGAAAGAATCTATAGTTCTCCATACGCATAGACCTCTGGCGACGTACGCTAATAAAATGTTTATATAAGCCTGGAATGCCGTCATTTCATCTCTCCAAAGTGAGGCTCTAATGGTTAAATCGAAACAAATGACTAGTTTGTCGATATTTGAAGTGGTATTTCAACAACCTCCTTAACATGAATATCTGGTCAACACAACCGCGTTCCGATCAAAATCCAGCTTGGTTAAGGCGTATCCTACCATTTCATGTTGCCATAAGTCTATCCAGTTGAAGGGAAGTGAAAATTTTCCCGAAAATTTATAGTAGATTGCTTTTAATTTAAACATTAAACATTTTAATTATTTAATATAATTTAATAATTTTAACCACATTTTGATGAATAAAAATTATTTAATAATTTAAGCGAATCATAATTAATATTCATATTTTCTATATATTCGAATTTTCTAAAATTTTATTTAGCTTATTCAGTATTTTCAGGATTTTGGACAGCTTTTAGCTTATACTGATTTGGAGAAAACTTTAGAACAAATGAAATCAGAGAATGAAAAACTTGAAAATGACATGAATGCAGTTGATGAAAAATATCATCAATTGAATAAAATATATCAGGAGGTTGTCGCTAAAAATAGCGAATTGATAGATAGGTGAATTATTTTTACATCAAAATTTCAAAATTATGGTGGAACTTATATAGGTTTGATTGTTTATAATCGTCGAATTGTTGAACTAATTTAACGATTCAGGTGCAAACTACTCGAAAAACGCGATATAATTATCAAGACTGATCCACCTGGCCTTGATAATAATGTCGAAATCAATGTCGAAACAGTTAATTCGGATGAGGTGAAACTTCTATTCCTCTATTAAACATTTAAACCTTAATAATTCCGTTTTAACTGATTATTTCAATAAAAAATCTTTTCAATGGCTACAAAAAAATTATCCCAATAAGTTTGGTACTTACAGCAGAAATCAAATAAGATTTCTATTGCAAAAAGTTATCGAGAAAATTTGGTACTATCTCCTTAAAATGCAGTATGATAATGCATAAATACGATGAGCAATGATTTTTTTCAGTAGCAGCGCAAGGCAAATTTCTGCATATTTCCCTCTGCGGCAATATTTTTAGTATGTTTCCCCAGAGGGTATTTTAAACTATAGGCAGATTTTAAATAAAGAAATTTCTTAATATTAAAACAAACCCTCTAGCAGAGTTATAAAGAAAATGTGCAATATGTTTTACGTTCCGCTGGACTTGTTAAAGAGTACCATTTTGCCCAATTTTGTCGAGATTTCAGAGATTATATTGCATGCATATATTATCCAAATTATTAGCCAATAATTTTTATGCTTATTTATATTTATTTTTTATTCATAATATTATAGAATGATGTGCTGAAAGCGCAATTAATTGCACGAGATAATAAAATTGCTGAATTACAACGAATGATTCAATCGCTTAAAAAGGAACTTATTGAATATGACGAAAAGTTGGTGGATTTTAAAAAAATCTTTTTGTCAAAGAATTTTTCTAAGCAATTTACAAATAATTTTTTTTTTGAAAAGCAAATGAAAAAATAAATAAATAAAAAAATAAAAAACCAACAATAAAATCAAATCAATTTTTTAAAATCAAAAATACAATAAGAATATATAATAATATTTTTTATTTTTAGCATTGAAGGAGTGACAATCACAAAAAATGAATTGAAACGAAATCTCGATTTAACAGAAACGAAGATTCAGGTCAGCATTATCACCATTTTTTTTAACAATTTTTTTATCATTAATTATCATTCTTTTTTCATCTCTCAAATCTGCCTTTAAATACTGTTTTATCCATTTTATTACTTTTGTAAAAATTTAAATCTATAGTTTTTAAAGATTTTTTCGTTATCGTATTTACATATAATATAATATATAATATAATAATATAATATAATAATATAATATAATAATATAATATAATAATATAATATAATAATGTAATATAATAATGTAATATAATAATGTAATATAATAATATAATATAATATAATATAATATAATATAATATAATATAATATAATATAATATAATATAATATAAATAATATAATAATATAATATTATATAATATTATATAATAATTATATAATATTATATAATTATTATATAATATAATATATAATAGCGAAATAATTTTAAGGCCTCCACTAAATTAGTGATCGCTTTTCTTAAATTTATACTTACTAACGCATTATATATATATATATATATAATAGTAAAAATTAAAATTTGTCCTATTAAAAATATCGTAAATTCCTTATTTCACCGAGTAAATTATTGTTATTTCAGATAACAATAACGAAATAATTCAGTTATTCATTAATTTCGACATCCGAAAATATTTTTGCTTTCAGTAAAATATAATTTTCAATTAAAAAAATAAACCTCTTTGTCATATTTGCCATATTTTAAAAGAAAATTTGTTAGAATCATATAAAATTTGTCATAAAATTCTTTGATAATTTTAGTTTTATAAAATATTTCGATACATGTTCCATTAATTATTTTCATCATGCAAAGCGTATTATTAAATTACTTTAAAAATAGAAGAATAAATTTGTCTTCTTTAAAAACTTATAATCCTAATTTGCTGATCATTATTACTGATTGGAATCGCTGGCTATAAAAATAAATCATCATTCACTCGTTCATATCTGAGAATAGCCGAATCTTTTTCTGTTTTCCTACACATATAAACGAATTTTTTTTTTTTTTAAGAGTCCTCACCATTATTGGTTAAACTCGCTCCACTGGCTTGTCGTATTGGGCAATATGCCAGCGAGTCCTTTGGCGATAGAAATACAGGTGAGTCGTCAGCATCACCCGGATTTTTATACAGGTTTACTCCTGCGGGGAATCGAACCTCAGCATCGGCGCTCCAAACTGAGCAACAACCCACTGAGCAATTCTATCCCACATATAAACGAATATATCATTGGAATATCTCTACGTTCATATTCTTTATACACGTTATTTTATAACTGCATTCAACAACAGGAATCATGAAGCAATTCAGTAGAAACAATTTATTGAGCAAACAATTTTATTAAAATATTAGATTAGATATCACATTTATAAATTCAGTTCTTCTTTCATTAAGCTCGAAATTTTTTTTGTATCTCATCGTGGTTCATTCTTTTTGTATGGTATTTCATGTGACCTACATTATTCATTCAAATATTATCATTATTCACACCTTTCATTCTACTGTATTTTTATCATTGTTGATACTTTACCGTAGATAAAGTGTATGTAAGCGTATAAGCGACGTATGCTTTATTTAGAATGATATTTTGAGTAGTTGAAAACACAAATGAAGTGGATGAGTAATAATTTTAGTTGAAGAAAGCACTAAATGAAATTAGCCATAAATTTAGACTGAAAGGAAGCTAAAATAGAGGATAACAATAGAAATTTCAATGGGAAGTTCTATATCATTAAGATAAGAGAATTGAATTAAACCTATAATTTTATTTATTAATATATTAATATTTAATATATTTATTAATTTTAGTATTGCCGCTAACTGCATTGCTACTTGCCAACATTATTTTATCTATTATTATATGTGATTATATTAACACCTATAGCTATCAAATTATACCATTCGCCATTATCATTTTTTAGGAAATGGAAGCAAAATTTCAGCCAGTCAAATAATAGAGAATAACAATTTTGGAGTAAATAGCGAAAGATGCCGGATGATATTTGAAGCTCAAATGCTTTTCTAGAGAAAAAGTTTTGTCCTAATAGTCGATGCCAGAAATAGTCGCTTTTTGCTTTTTTGAAAGGTAGCAAATTGGCAGAATGTATCAAACTCTGTTTTTAACAGTAATAAAAAAATGGATAGTGGTTAGGATCCGCTTTTATCGCCAAATGACGAAATTGCAAGGATCTAGCCAGAATATTTCTGGCCATTTAATTTTTTTTAGGAAATGAAAGATGATCATTTTTAATTTTTAATTTTTTGTTTTTTTTAAGGTGTAAAAGTTTTATTTAACCTATTTCTCCAATCTTTCAAAAACCAAATAGTAATGTGTTACATCAAGTGGATAGGCTTCGATATAAAGTAGAGCTTAATGAAATGTGTACGAAAATTTCACCGCGATAGGCTTAAACATATTTAGGCTCGAAACCAATGATTTAGGCCCCTACATAAATATCACTTTCTGATTTGCATTTGTCTTGCAATAGGCATTCGACTGTACTTTAAACAACTGTTATAGATTCAATAAAATAATTCTTGGTTACTTTGGCTTGTATCATGCATGTCCAATAATTTGGAATTTGGTATAGCAAAAAAGACTTTATATATATATATATATATAATTCTGAATATTATAATGGCATTAAGTGGCCTTAAGTGCACATTTTGTAAATGATAAGGTGATTAGTCCGATTCCTCAGCTACAGTGATAAAAAATATTGCTGATATGAATTATCAAGATTCTATTTTTATTCTCAGATTTTTACTTTACGCTTGTTTATAATCTTCTGTAAAGATTCTACAATAAAAGATATTCTTTATCAAAAATTTGAATGAGAATTTAATAAAATCAATAAAACGATTATAGTGATAATTTCTTGTTAAAATGATAAGAAAATACAAATGTTTCCAATAAATTTCATTCTTTTAACAATTGAGGAACATTATTATTAAAAAATTACGTTTATATTTAAATAATTTAAGCGAAAATTATTTAACTTTTTTTTTAACAATGTTGACAAGTTTTGCGACATCTTGTCTTCAGTAGTTCTTCATATGGTTGTTGCGTGCATAGGGACGCATAATTAGAACAGTCTTGATTTTCATCTTGGCATTCCTCTTTTTGAATTTCCTCTTGTAATTCTTTTTCTACTTTTTCTAAAAAATATTTAGAAATATTTATGAATAAATATATCAGTAGCTATTTCATTTAAAAAATTTTTAATTTTTAATAAAATTTTTAAAAAAAAATTTTAGAGAAATTTTTCAATTTTTTTCAAAAATTTCAAAATTTTCATCATAAGTTTTGAGTTTAAAAAGTTCTTCAAAATAAATCTTACCATTTTCTACCTTAGGTTCATCAGCTTTGCATAGTTGAAAAAGCATAAGTGCTACAATAAGAGCGAGCTTTGCCATGTTTTGCATTTCACTATCGATCGCAATGAGCAGAGTCTGAAAATTCTCTATGGAAGTACATAAAATAGGCGATAAACGATAAAAATAGAGAAAAATTTTAAAAAATTTCAATTCTTAAATAGATCTTAGATGAGTGGAATGGCTCAGTGGATGATGGCTATCATTTCGAGGTGCCAATGTTAGGGTTCTATCTCTTGCAAAAAAAGATCCTTCCTTTTTAAGAATTCATTCCGATGTTGCTTGCGTACTCTCTCTTCTCAAATGATTCTCTAATAAAAAAAAAAATTCGCCTAATCAAATAAGCCGGAGGAGCAAATCTAACCAGAAATGAAGAGCGCTTTTCGATAAAAAAAAAAAATTTTTTTTTTTAAAATTTTAAAATATTTAAAATTTTAAAAAGATATTGCGAATAAAATGATAGAAGTGCAATAACACGATAGTATGAAATATGAAATATCAAAAATTTCTGTCCTTTTATGCAATTTTTCGAACCAAAAAAACCGGATGTTTAAGCAGTTTTTTCAATAAAAATTGTTCATCATTTGAAAAAATTGGTAATTTTTTTTCGTTTTTCACAGTAAATCAATTTTTTGACTAAATATTGTGAATTTCCGTTAATTCCGTTAATTCCGCTAATTTACTTCATATTTTGCACTATTATTGCCCTAATGCAATAGTGATAATAATTTTGAATAAACTTATTTAATTTTATTTTAATAATTTTAATTCAATTTTAATGTTCAATTTTAATTAAAGTTTCAATTTAATTGAATTTAATTATTTAATTTAATTTTAAATAATTTTAATTTTAATTTAATTGATTCATTTGCAAATTGAATTAAACTAAGATTTTCATATAAATAATTCATTGAATCGATGAATGCTAAAAGCTAATTTATGAAGAATATTTTTAATAAGAATTTTTTAAAAATATTTAATTTTAATATTTTCATTTGAATAAAAACAATTTCCTTACGCGAAATATTTGTAACCACTGATATGAAATTATTATTTTATGACAAAAAAATCAGAAATTGATGGCTTTGAAAAATCATCGGAAATTGATGGCTTTGAAAAATCATCGCCAATCGAGATTTCAAAAAATTACTGATCGGTTTTGTAGCTGAGAAAATCAAAATGTGATTTTGCGATTTTTTATATTATTCAGCAATTTTTATGAATCGTTCATTGTAGAAGAAAATCCGAATTCGTAGAATTCGTTATAAATAATTAATAATAATTATCTCTTTCAGCCGTGATTAAAGAAATAGCGTAGAAAAACATTGAAAATATTAAAAATTCACAATTAAAAAATTTTAAAGAATATTTAGGAGGGCAACATAAATGATAAGATGATAACCTGATAAGTTAATAAATTATATTATATTTATTTACTTTATATGATAAAAATTACGATTAAAATTCGATTTAAATTCGTATAAGAAAATTTAAATTTTTATTGTACGAAATAAAAATGTTTTTTAAAATTTATTATTTTTTGATTCATTTTCAACGAAATTAAAGCAATACTAATTTGAATTTTTCATTAAATTGGCTAAGCTGATTAAATAAAATTCAATTTATTTAAAAGTTCATTGTGATTCATCAAAAATTTTTAAAATTATGAAAGCCATAACAAATTCATTAAAAAACATTTCAGCCCTAATTAATTTCTAAAAAATAATTTTGAATTAAATTATTAAAATTATCAATTTTAGGGAAAAAAATTAAAGATTTTATGAAATTTTGGTGCGATAATTTTAGTCAAATCGTTTTATTATTAATATTTTAATATTATATAAACTAATATATTTATTTATTATATATTTATATAATATTTAATATATTTATTATATGGCTACAAAAAAAAGATAATATTATTTTAGTATTTATCATTTTATTATATTTATTTATCATTTTGGCTATCTTTTATCAAAGATGGCCACTTTTATCAATATCATCCTATCTCGAAATTTTCTCATCAACGAAAACGCACCGTTCTCTCCTAAAATCTTTTTTACAGTCATACTTCTTATTTCAGTTCTATAATTCATGATTTATATTAGCGAGCTTTGGTTCGGCATTAAAATTATTAGTTCTATTTTAGTTTTGAGAGGATATAATTGGATCTGAGGATAAAAACAGTTTAAAAGGATCTTCAAAACACCAACACCATAAACACCAAAACACCCTTCAAAATTCTGGTGCATATTACTTCATGCTCCAAAAATCTCTCTAACATTTTAACAGACTCCACTACACTCTTTTATCAAAAGCCGATATGTTAAATTCGCTTATTCGCTTATTTATCACCGTGAAGCCTTAATATAAACCTTATCAAACCCTATTATGCATTTTACTAGAAGCCCCAATGTTCTCGACGAAATCTAAACTTTTAGTATTGAAATCCCTCAATATGTCTTCATATCTGCCAAAATAATCCACTAAAGGTGTCATATGCCCCTTTCTACTTTTTTTAGTTCTTCCAAATCTATTTCATTGCCAGCGCTATTTTATTGCCTTTGTGCTGCCTCACCAAGCTTTGCAGTCTCTTACTATGTAACAATTAGGAGTTGTTAGTTACGAAATATAGAACGATGATATTGGAATCGCGAAAGTATAACAGGAATTATGAGATTTTAAGATGCAATTAAAGGGATTTAACTGGTCATAAAATAATGCGAAATTTCGAGGAAATATCGATGCATAAGGATAATATTTTAAGATGCATTGCCTGCTCGTATAATAATAGCTATAATAATGCACCTTAGGACTCCTTAGGAAATGCACTCTGCAAAAAGTTCTTAGTAAAGAAATTATGCGGAAACTATTTTTCATCTATCGAATTTCCAAGGATCTATTACAAGAGTCTTTTCAAATATTTGTTTCATGAGGAATATCAGTGATAAATTTAAAAAATGCTTCTCTCTTAAAAACACCTTGAAAAAAATCATTTTATTGCCTATTAAAATTAATACATCATTTTATTTAGTATTTTTTAAGCAAATTATTTAGCAAATCTATATTATTACGCTATTATTTTTTAATTTTTTAATGTTTTTTTAATATTTTTGTCATAATTATAATTATATTTTTGTTATAATACTTTTGTTATAATTTGTTATAATATTATTTTTTAATATTTTTAATATTTTTGTTATAAAATTTCGAAATTAAAATTAGCATGAACTTATTTATACAAATGAAAAATGCATGAAAACTTTAATCGGTATCGTGCATTTTAGCACAACATTATTTGCTAGTGATAATCGATGCTTATTGCTCGCTCATATAAATTTTTCGTTTTATTGGAAAAAAATTGCATAAGTTCCGGGTGATACTGGCAACTCACCTGTATTGCTATCGCTAAGCAACTTCCTAGCATATTTATTCAGTACGACAAGCCAGCGGAGCGAGTTTAACCAGTAATGAAAATGAGAATTCAAAAAAAAAAAATATGGTTATAGCAAATTTTCCCTATAAAATCCCTATAAATTGTTCACATCATCATCATTTTTTCAACATTCCTATAATAAAATTATAATTTCGTAGTGAAAATGCATGGAAAAGATTTATATTGAGCAAAAAGGTTAGCAAATCTTTCTTCGATCGAAATATGATTGATTAATCTGTATTAGAATTGATTCGCACTTTAATTACTCCCCAAATAACCTTTAGAACCCGTCGGACACACTGTCGGATATAATGTTACCATTATCATATCATAATTAGTTACCGTGGTTGTTGTTACTATCGTCGTTGTCGTTTGTGGTCCATCGCTTTTTTTTTTAGTTAGCATTTTAGTAGATGGCATTTTATCATTTCATAGCAGCAAGTTTTACGATAAATATTGAATTTTTCGAATTATTTGCGGGGAGGGGAAAGGGGGGGGGGGAACAATCGTTTACATAATAATTTTCCTAATCGATATGAAATGAAAATTTTCTATATTTTTAATTGCCACCAAAAATATTAAATTTCATTTTCATTCATTTTTCATTCATTTTATAAATGAAACAAAAAATTTTTAAATTTTATCATTAAGGACCTTTGATAATAAAAGTTAAAAGTAGTTTTTAGCGTTCTTATTTTATAAATTTAAATTTTAACTCCTTCTATTGTATTTTGTGAATTTTTCTATTATTGCAAATAGTTTTAATTGTATTTTTTAAATTTTTCTAATATTTCGAGTAGCTTTAATTGCATATTCTTCGAGCATTTGCAAAGGCTTTAATTGTATTTCTTCAAATTTTCTACAATTTTGTTTTGTTGTATTTTCTTTTTTTCTAACATTTTCGACACATTTAATAATATTTTTTAAATTTTCTAATATTTTCAAAGGCTTTTATTGTATTTTGTGAATTTTTCTAATTTTTCTAGCAATTTCAACAATTTTGTTTTATTATATTTTTTATTTTATCTAACAATTTCGACATCTTTAATTCTATTTTTTATTTTATCTAAATTTTTCAGCACCTTTAGATATATTCTTAAATATATTTTTCTAATTTTCCAAAGGCTTTAATTGTATTTCTTTAAATTTTCTAACTTTTTCAACAATTTTTTTTCATTATGTTTTATATTTTATCTAATATTTCCTTTAATTATATTTTTTAATTTTTCTAATATTTTCAACAATTTTGTTTCATTGTATTTTCTATTTTTTTCGAACATCTCCAATAGCTTCAATTGCAATCCTTAATTTTTCTAATAAATAAATAAATAATAAATAATAAATAAATAAATAATAATAATAATTTAAATACTTTTTAAATAATTTCATTATATTTTTAATTTTTTCTAACATTTTCAACACTTTCAATTATATTTTTTAAATTTTCTAGCATTTCATTTTATTATTTTTTTTACTATTTTACTATTTTTTGTTTTATCGAAAATTTTCAAAAATATTTTTCGAATTTTTATTCTAATTTTTTCGACAACTCTAATTATGTTCTATTAATTTTTCTATCGTTTTTCAACACTTTTGTTTTAATCATATTATTTATTGTTTTAATATTTTTCTCATTTTTAATTCATATTTCTCGGGTTTTTCTAGCAACACTGTGAACAGCGTTATTTAATTTTTTTTTTTATATTTTTTATTTTTAGATTTTCGATTTTACATATAGCTGACAATCTTAGCAAAAATCTTATAATCTTATAGTCCTCAACCTCACTGCCTTGAATATTATTATATTATCTAAGCCTCTATGGAAATCCATTACAGCCACTTGAAAATTTCTTTAAAATTTGTTGTGACCATCCGTATGACCAAAATTCCCTTAAATTTTTTCAATATCCGTTATGTCTTTTGTTAATGTTCGACTACAACATCAAATTGTAAAACCTTGGTGAATCACAATCACTCTTCCACAGTTTAATGCTAAATAGTTTGCCCATATAGTTAAAAATTCGATTCGAAATTACCACTAAATATCATTGAATACTGTTCAATTACTAAAATATATTTATACATTTTATACATTTTAACGTATAAATGAGATGTTCGCTCTTCCAATTTTGATAGAATAAAAATTGCATAAATAATAAAAAAACTTTAATAATGGAACAAGAACAAATATTTCCAGATTTCCTAGCAAATCCTATACTACAACATAATTGCATCTTCTACATTGAGAAATTTAGCGAGGAGTTTTTCTAATTCCCCGCTGGTCCTTTGAATATCTTCTAATCAGCAAAAAAAGGATGCAATTATATTATTAAATATTATTAAATTAACTTTTCAAAATATTAAATCAATATTAAATTAAATCAATATTAAATTTTAAAATATTAAATATTAATATTAAATATTAAATTTTAAATTAAATTATTAAATTTAAATTTCTATGTTATATTTATTAAATTGGATATTAAATTTGTATAAATAAATAAATATTAAATTAAATATATTTCTATAAATATTAATATTATAAATATTAAATTAAAATAAAATTAAATATTAAGCTATATTAAATTTCTCATGAATAATATTTCAAAAAAGGAAATATATTTAACCATTAAATAAGGGAATATTGAATTACTGTACAGTTTGAAACTCCTTTTCCTTCCTCATAAGTGGCACCACCAAAGGCACTAGCGCTTGAGCTAATTTTTTTTCTACAAAACCAATGGTAATTATAAGAACCAATATTGATTACTTTTATCGTGGTACCTGTGAAACTAAAAAATTGTATGATATGACTAAAGACAGTTAATTATCACTATTTTCTTAGTTTTCAATTAGCTAACAGCAGAAAATTAAAGAAAATTTAGAAATTATACTTAGAGGGAATGCTCCATGCTAAAGCGAGAATTCGACATGAAAATATTGTTTTTTCATGAGATGTAAAAACTAACTGTAACTCATGTCTTTAAACTTAAAACTATAATCATTAATAATGCATTACGTTTTTTTAAAGAGTCCTCACCATTACTGATTAAACTCGCTCCACTGGCTTGTCGCATTGGGCAATATGCCAGCGAGTCCCTTGGCGATAGAAATACGGGTGAGTCGTCAGCATCACCCGGATTTTTATACAGGTTTACTCCTGCGGAGAATCGAACCTCAGCATCGGCACTCCCAATTGAGCAACAACCCACTGAGCCATTCCATCCCCAATTACATTAGAAGAAAAAGAACTGATCTCTCTTGTTGCCATATTTAAAATTTTATTTAAAATTTTGCTTTAAATAAAATTATAAATTTTAAAATACTTTAGAAAATAAAATATTCTTTAATCGCTTTTCCAGAGTTTTTGAAAGTCTTGTTTCAATCGAAAAATTATTCGCTCGATCCAAATCCACACGGAGGAAGAGTGTATTTGCGAATCTGCTCGCTAAGCATTCTGCTCGAAAGATATGAAATTATTAACACGATTTATTGTTAATGATAATTCCTAATTATCAAGCACATCGATCTTTCAACAATGCATTGATGCAATGATTTTATTTTTTGTAATTTTATAATTTTATAATTTTTTATAATTTTTTTTCATTAATATTGTATTGTAATTTTAATATAAATTTGTTATATTTAATATAAATTCGAATAAAGTTGATATGATAAAATTGATATGAAAATATATATACATTTTATAATGATAATTTTCATGATAATATAAGCAATCCTTCTTTTGGCTTTTTTGATAGCCCCATTATTGGTTAATGCTAATTCTATCAGATAGAAGAGTGAGACACTTGCGAGCCTCTCGTTCCTAGGTGCATACATATCTTACTCGATTTTGCTTTTAAAATCTCATCAAACAGCATCGATCCATTAAAATAAAAAGATTTAGCATTGTGCTATAGGCCAATAATTTCGATACGTCGGTCCATGGTCCAATACATGGCCAAATTGCCTAACATTAATTATTATTTTTATAACTTCCCAGCAAAAAATATTATGACCAGCACCGTATTGCTACCAGCTGACTACCTTTGGCCACATTAGGTATAAGTTCACAATAAGTTCTCAGATATAGGTCATATTAGTAGCTCTTTAGGGGCCACGAATTGGACACTCCTATTATAAAGGAAAGGATTCAACCTTGGAATGTCATTGATTAAGTGCAGTGCAAATGCTATTAGTGTATATTGTAAACAAGCAATTAAAGTAAAATCATTCATCCATTTCCATTCATTAATGTACTATTTGATAAACATCGGAAATATTGCTTGTGATTACGTTATCACTATATTTTAACACTGAGAATAATACAACGCCAGGATGATATTTGATATTACAATTATCATTTATCGTTTATCATTTTATTATCATTTTTGTCTAAACAAAAAGATTTGCGCATATTTACGAAAATAACGAGTTATGAAAAGTAAAGTAAAGTTTTAAAATATGCCAAGTTGAAAGTTGAAAATTTCGATATGTACGTTTTCTCACTGATTAGCCTCAATTCACAGGCTTTCAAGCAATAGAAAAATTTTGCCAACGATTTCACTTGGGAATAGAACTTGGTAATAGAAGGTGAAAGAAAGTTACCTCTGGCAAATTGGATCTTTAAAGGCTCTCCTACCATTTTCAGCTTGGCTTTACACGTAGGCTTTGCCATGTCTAATGGCTTTACACGTAGGTTATTAACGTAAATCGATATGACTAGAGATACCTCTATTCCCATACCTTTCTCCCCTTCGTACAGTTGACCCAACCTTATAATTTTATGGAAGCCGAGTTTTTTGATTTGTCATACGCGGCTGCATAATCATGAAATTTCAGCGAAGTCATACATTTTGTCTTTGCTGTAGGATTGGGTGAGTTGGTGAATTCTGCAGTTAGTAAGGCAAAATGCAAAAATTGAACCAAATTTATCGATTCCATCTATAACCATTTATAATTTAAGCTGAGAAATATTCGGATAATTGTAAGCCGAGTTTTTTAATTTGTCATATGCGGCTGTTCAGTCATGAATTTCAGTAAAATTTTGTCTATTATAGTTGCAGTTGTGATTATTTAGGTGTTTTGCTTGATCGAAACGGTGGACTAATGCAAAATTAAACATTATTATTTTATTTTTTAAATAAATTTATAAAATTTCTTTTTTTTTAGAAATGGATTCATCAGAAAATTTAGGGAATCAACGAAGTATTTTGTCTCGGTTTTTTTCATCGATTGCAGTTGCAAGTTTTTTTTATTTATTTTATTTTAATATATTTTAAAATATATTTTTATGATTAAATATTTTTATATTTAATTATTTTTAATTATTATTTTTCATTTATTTTATTTTAATATATTTTAAAATATATTTTTATAATTAAATATTTTTACATTTAATTATTTTTAATTATTGTTTTTCATTTATTTTATTTTAATATATTTTGAAATATATTTTTATAATTAAATATTTTTATATTTAATATATTTTAAAATATATTTTTATAATTAAATATTTTTATATTTAATTATTTTTAATTATTATTTTTATTTATTTTATTTTAATATTTTTTAAAATATATTTTTATAATTAAGTATTTTTATTTATAATAATTTATAATAATTTATAATATATATTTTAAAATATATTAAAATATATTATTTATAAAATTTGTACAAAATGGGTTTTATTTCGATAAGACGATGAGTTTTTTATTTCCAACATGAATAAATCTTTTTTTTTTTGAACCATGTGATACTTTGTATTTCTGTCACCAAATGATTTCGTAGTAAAATTAGTTTCGTTCATTGAGTGAGTCGAACGAGTTTTTAGCAAAAAAAAAAGTGGTAAATGAATTAGAGGAAAAATTTTTAAGATAGGTTTTTATAGAAATTTTCGCGTTTTTATTTGTGGTTCTGATTTATTTTTAATTAAATGAATATTATCAAATCACTTGTGAATATTTCTAGAAAAATTGAATAAATTTTTATATTTTATTTTATTAGTACTTTTATTAATAATAATAGCAATAATAATAATGGTAGTGGAATATTATCGTACTATTTTATATATTTTATATTATTTTATATAATTTTATGTACTTTGTATTTTTTTTAATATACTTTTAATATTTGTATAATTTTAATTCCACCAAAAATTCGACGAATTTCATTTTGAATAATATTTTTTATCCATTATTTTTTCATTTATTTTATGTTTTATATATTTTTTATATTTATTTTTTTATTTATTTTATATATATATATATATATTTATTATAATTATTATAATTATTTATTACAATTATTATTTTATTATTTATTTACAATATTTATTATTTATTTACAATATATTTGTTATATATATATTATATAATATTTTATAATAATATTTTTTCATCATTTAGAAATATCAATATTATTTGGATTCATTGACGCCGTATTGCGGAATAAGATGGACAATAGCTGTAGCATTTATTATTCTTTTAATTTGGCGAATTATCAGTGTTCAGGTAATATTTTTTCCGTTTTTTTTTTGCTTATTTATAAAGGAAGAATAAAGAATAGTTGAAAGTGTTAAAAGATAAGCGTTCAGCTTGTTGCATTTGATAGAAATAAGCCTATTAATAAAAAATTTTAGTGGTTCTGGTATGCCACTTATATTTCTCTATCGCTAAATGTCTCGCTAAGTGGCAACAGCTAGCGAAGTTAATCTAATCAGAAATAGTGGACTAATCTATTTTTTTTACTTTTTTATTTTGCTTATATTTATTTATATTTATATTTATTTAAAATTTGACAATTTTAATTTTTTTGGTTTTTTTTATAGAAAATTTTTTATGATTTTATTCTTATTCCTTATTATTTATCTATTTTTACCTTAATAGAACAATATCAGTTGGTTTAAAAGTTAGACTATAACTTCGAAAATACATTAATAGATGGGATCGATTTCGTTTTGGTAATAGAATAGAAGAGCTTAAAAAACCGCTTAATTTTATATATTTATAATTTTGTACTACTGTCAAATATAAATTTCAGTAATAAACATCTTTCATGACGTTTATTATTTTTTATTTATTTATTTAAATTTACGTTATTTATCATTATCATTAATTCAGTTTGATTCTTCGTTATAATTTGACTAATACGTATAAAAAAAAAAACCTCCATGCTCCAAAATCTGCCATGTTTTGTAAAAATTCTATTCTTTTCTCGTTAAAATTAGAGCTCAAAGGATCCCATTATTTCCACACACCTCGTCCACTACGAGCGTTTCCGCTTGGTAGTTGTGTTCTTGAACTTTTTCATTCCCTCTCTGCTCAATCGTAGAGCAACTTGTTGTTAACCCATTAAGCTTTGCTGCTATCTTATATTCCATTTGTAATTTTTTCTCTCTCCTTAAATTCTCATAAATACTTAACTGGTCTTTGATATAGATAATTCCTCAGAAACTTATTAAGATTTGATAGAAATGCTCCAAAAGTGAATCGTCGAAAAGGTTCAGTTAAGAAATATTTTAATAATTCTATAATTGCGCTAATAGGTTCGTTCCTATTGGCACGTCTGGTTGAGGGTCTAATTATTGAATAAAGTGGTGAATAATTTTTATATTGCATATTTTTTATTTTATATCAGAGCTGACCGTAAAACATCCTTTAAAATATCCTTTTTGTACGTATATAAATCTCAGTGTTGGACATTCTTTAAAATCTGCTATATATTGTGGAAAGAATTTTAACTCCTTTAAACATCCTCTTAATGTCTTAAAAGCATCGCTGTGTCTTAACCAAGTTATCGCATCATTTTTTCTCGCCATTTCAACTGCCCTCAAACTCATTTACAACCTCGTCATTCAACAATATCCCACTTTCTTTGTTCCATCGCAGTACAAATTATAAGACTGCATAGGATAGCAAGGTCACTGATGAAAGGTTTTAGTGGGAAGACAGACAACAATTTCTGCTATTTTACAAGATTGGTGATTTTACTTCTTCTTCTTCTTGTTAAAAGAAGTAAAATTGGAATTGGTATCTGTACATTTTTATTAGTATCGAATACGTAATGATTATGAATTATCAATATTTGAATAAGCAAATAATTCTGATAATTTTGATAATTCTGATAATATTTTGATAAACTTGTGAAATAATTCTTATTAGTATCAAATTAATTTTTTTCAATTATTAATAATTTTTTCATTTAATTAACTTTTTCATTTAATTATTAATAAATAAATATAAATATATTTAATAAATATTTAAATAAAAAAAATTTCAGGGATTTTACATTATAGCATATGCAACAGCGATATATTATTTAAATTTGTTTCTTGCTTTTCTCACTCCTAAAATCGATCCGGCGCTTGATTTTGATAGCGAAGGTTCGATTCGAATTGCTATGATCTCTTATTTTTTATGCTTTATTAACCATTAAATATGTATCCGTAATTGAAAGTAGTTTACAGATGATGGTCCAACGTTGCCGTCAAAAGGAAACGAGGAATTTCGACCATTCATGCGGCGTCTTCCTGAATTCAAATTTTGGTTGGCTTTAGTAGTTTCTATTAAAATTTTTATTATTTTTATTATTATTATAAAATTTTACTTTTATAATATTATTAAAAATGCTTTGCAGGTATTCAACAGTAAAAGCTACAGTAATTGCTTTAATTTTAACCTTTTTTGAAGTTTTTGATGTTCCTGTTTTCTGGCCTATTCTGGTTATGTATTTCATTATTCTCACTTGTCTTACTATGAAACGTCAAATAATGGTTGGTTCTTTGTGATCATTAATAATAATTATTTTATTTTGCACAGTTTCATTTGTTTGCTATGCTATTTTTTAGCCTATTTTTGGCTTAAATTTTTGCTCAATTTAATGGAAATTTTACTTGAAATTTCGGTGAATTTAAGTGAAACTATAAATAATCTTTAAATTTACAAGTGGAATTAAGATAATAATTGGTTGAATTGTGTGAAATTTGTATTTATTTGATTGATTTATTTATTATTTATTTATATAAGTTTATTTGACTACTTATACTATTTATTATCAATTTGATCCATTTTTCTTTTAAATGATCTTGTTTTCAGCATATGATAAAGTATCGCTATATTCCTTTCACAACTGGCAAGCCAAAAATGCGAGGAAAAGAAGATTCGGGCGTTGTTGTTCAAGGCTAGTGTAATAATTGATATTTATTATTTTTAAACATTATTGTATTGGATTTGGTACATGGTCTGAAGTTGAATTTAATTTTTTCTAATATGCTATATAGTTGATTATTTTTATTTTTTTACTAAAGATCAATTTTTATTCACTATTTCCATTTCTCATCGCTTCCATTACTTTTCCAATAAAATAATAGTTATTTATGGTTGTGAAAGGAAATTTTATTGAAGTGGCTTTCTAACATTTTTGTAATAGCATTTAACATTTATTGGTGAGATTCATTTACCAGTGGGTTACCAGTAACAGTTGAGTTGCCATTTCTTGAATTGTATTTTTAATGGTAATGGTACTTTTTTCAAGAGAAAAGAGTGGAACTTATTTCTTTGCCTCAAGAACTTGTGTATTTTATATCTTCTGTTCCTAGATAAAATTTTTTCATTGCTTCCACAATAGCTCGATTTTTATCAATTTTGTGGGTAATTCATTATTTATACTGCATATAAAGAATTATATAGAATTATAGCATTTTTTTTCTAAGATCTCTCGCCATTTCTGGTTAGTGTTGATTTATCGGAGTAAGCAAATTTTGCCGAAAAGTCTTTGGCTACAGAGATTTACTTGGCTATAGGCGAATCGCCAGCATCGCATAGAATAACTTATTATTAGTGATTACATTTCGTGGCGGAGATTTGTAATACATTAATCCTTTATTTCTATATCAGAATATTTTCCATTTTCCATCGATTATCGATTTTATCAATTATCCTTAAAGCTGTTAGAAATAATTGAATTATATCAAGTTATTGTTATCATGATCATTGATGGATTTCAGCACCACCATCTACTGTGATTTAATGGACGAACGATGGGAGAATAATATGTATTTCAATTTAAAATTCATGGATTTGTTCTTTTTTAGATGTTTCTCGTAAATAAATTTATATTTATTTTTTTATTTGATTTATACGTTACAAGATTTTGTATTATAGTTATGTTTAGTTGGCTGGCTTATTGGTTATTATTTCTTTTAAAAAAAGCAGCGAACATATTCGTCTCTCATCGTTCCACATTTCAGTTCGCTAGAATAAATTTTTCGTAATTCATAATCAACTGCAATTAACACTTAATATAACTTATTTTATTATTCAATCATAGTTTTAAATTTTTTAAGAATATTTTTTAAGAATATTTTATTTCCATTCCTTTAGTTTATTTTGTTGCTGTTGTTTAGCCTCTTCGGCATTACAAAATGATTTTTGAAAAATGCTCTTGAAAAATTTTTATTTATTGAGAATTTAGGTCAATTTCGATGGTACTATCTTGTTTCGTTTCATTTTTTTGATTCAGTTTTCTCTGATTTTGTTTTATCTGTAATTGATTAACGCTTTGTCTTTTGCGTTCACTTGTTATTCACTATCGATAAATGATTAGAATGATTGTTTTTTGAATTTTTTTATTGATGATAACGGATAAATATTCTTAATTCTTTTATACTTTTTTTAGTTTATTTTTGTTTTTTTTCTAAATCTATATTCTTCTATTTTTCTTTTTATCTTTTATCTTTTTTGTTTTATCATTATTATACAATAAATTTTTATCATTTAGGAAATTTTTTTTGCAAAATTTAATTTCTATTTTATAATTTTAAAGAGAATTCTCTTAAATTGTTAAATTATGAAAATGAGATATTGACCAAGTGGAAACATTTTTTATGGTGCAGTTAATTTTTTTTTAAATTAATAATTTCAAAGAGGTCATTAGAGGTGATTTCACCTTAAAACTATTGTTAATTAAGTTGAGCTTCTTTATTTTTAAAGTGATTTCTCTAATCGATGCTTCAAAAATTTAATAAATTAATTTAGAAGTTTTTTTAAGAATTAAATAATGAATCGAAGTGATTCGTTTGAGGGAGCACACACTGGTGATCCGGAGAAGGATTTGGCTTATGAACGCGATCATGCTAAACGAGGTTCACTTATACTATTATTTTCCCCACAAGATGATGGAATGCTTGAGAGAGAGTTTCTTTTTTTAGTTCAAGCAGTTAATTTAATTTAAGACTGTTCAAAGCTTTCCGAAATAAATTTTTTCATTTTATTAATAATCTGTCCACGTGATTATAGCTATACTATATTTCAGCTATAAATAGATATTTTATAATTCTTTTGCAGGAGAAACCAGCGACGAAAGTATTCCGGATGATGTTGTTGATTATCTTGTTTATTTCAAACGAATGATTGATCAACAAAATCTCAATGAGATCCATAATTTATATGAACATGGCTTTCCTGACTTAACTGAGCGTTTTTTCCAGCAACGTCTTTGGCCAAATGAAGAAGTTGTGGCACGTATTATTGGACCAGAACCAGGTATTTTTGTTGAAAATTTTGATTTTTTATAATTTTGATTTTATTTTTATTTTTTAATTTTTAATAAAATTTTTATTTGATTGTTTTTTAATGGAAAATTTCAGAAAATCGTCTTTTTATGATACTATATCGAGAATTATATTTTCGGCATGTCTATTCTCGTATGCAGCGAGGACCATCATTGGCTCACCGTTATGATTCTTATCAAAATTATCAGGCACTTATTTATAGTTATTTCTTTCATTTTAGAAGATTTTTAAATGCGCTTGTTAATTTTTGGTAATATCATATTTTTTAGGATCTTTTCTGTGAAATCCTGACACCAAATGATGCTCCTTTGTCTCTTCAGTTACCAAATATCTGGTTATGGGATATTATTGATGAATTTGTGTACCAAGTTTGGTGTTTTCCATTTCTTTTATTTTTTATTCTTTTACAAATCTGTTTCATTCCCTATTGAATTTCAGTTTCAAGCATTTTGCCTTTATAAAGCAAATCCTAGTAAACGAAGTCCAGAAGAGTACGACGATTTGTTGTCTATAGAACAAAATCAAACGGTTAGTTTTGTATAGAGTGTATACTTTCAAACTCAGAAAATATAAGTTTATATTCAAAATTGCATATTCTTTCTGGATTTCGTTATTTAAAAATGACTATGGCCTTTCAACTTTCTATTCATTCAGATATTTTCTTTTCCTTCTGCTGTATTCATTTATTTATTCAGAAAATTTTCGCAAATAACATAATTTACTCTAAATTTTATTGTTCTTATTATTATTATTAAAATTAATTCTTATTAATTCTTATTAAAATTGTTATTGTTCTCTTGTTTTAATCTTATTGTTATCCGTCAAATCTAATTTTAGGCTTGGAATATATATCCAGTTCTAAATATCTTATATTCTCTTCTTGCAAAGTCACAAATCGATCAACAACTTGTTGCTATACGAGAAGGAAGTTTGTATATATGTTTGAGTACCATTTTGTTCTTAAAATAAATGCAAAATTATGATTTTATATGAAAAAATAATAGGAAATCCTGATGATGTGGCTGACGAGTTTGGACGTTCTGCACTTTACTTCAAACTTGGTTACTTCTCATTAATTGGATTGCTTCGCACACATGTTCTATTAGGAGATTACCATCAAGCGTTAAAAACTGTTGAAAATCTGGTTTTTCATCCAAAAGTAAAAGTTTTATATTTAAGAAAAAATTCATATTCTCCTTGTTTTTGGCTTTTTTTTAATAAATATTTTTTCTTTCAAAACTTATCCATGGATTAGTTTTGTTTTTAATTCAAAAAAATAAACGTTATTTACATAAATAATTTTTAAAAATAAAATAAATTTAAGGGTCTTTATAACACAGTGCCATCATGCCTTGTTACTTTGCACTATTTCGTTGGTTTTTCTCATATGATGATGCGAAATTATGGCGATGCTACGAGAATATTCGTTAATTGCTTGTTATATATACAGAGAACAAAAAATATACAACAACAGCATCAAACCCAGAAGAAAAATTTCCAATATGATGTGGTTAGTTTATTCTCATTCATTGATGTCGAAAAGTATTTATCTATTAATTTATGTTACAGATTGGAAAAACTAATGATCAGCTTTATCATCTATTGGCCATTTGTTTAACGCTGCAACCGCAGCGTATTGATGATTCAATTCAGTCGCAGTTAATCGAGAAAAGTGGTGATCGCATGAATCGAATGAGTAATGGGTTAGTGCATGCTAATTAAGTTTAAAAAATTATGATACACTACAGAACGAAGAGGCAAATATAATGTTAATATCCGTTGTTGTTAGTTTTTGTTTTTATTCATTTGAATATTTATTTCGTACACTTTTTCATCTTAGCAACCTACTTTATTTTAGTGATATTGATGAGTTTCGACTTGCTTTTCAGCAGGGATGCCCGAAATTTCTTTCACCAACTACTGTCGTTTATGATGGGCCAAATCAAGCTAAGGTTTATTATTGGCTACTAAAGTAAACCATAGTTTATTAGCATATTTAATATTAATGTTGTCTAGAATTAGAAATATTAGAAATATTTTACAATATCCCCAGTTTAGATTTCAGTATTTTCCAGGAACCATTAATTCGTCAATGCAATGCATTCTTAGAAGGAATAGAATCTCAAATAATGTTGCCAATCCTTCGTGGTTATTTAAAATTATATACCACACTACCGACAAAGAAATTGGCCAGTTTTATGGATATTGCTGGTATGCGTATGGATTTAAATTCATTTGATGTAAACTACAGCTCTGAATTGGCCAGCATTTTGTGTACCATTGATAATCAAGCTTTACACCTTATTTAATTATCCTTCATAGCTTCTAATAACCTTTATTTGAATTGCAAAATTTGAAATTTTGAATATTTCGATTATTTTGAAAGTAAAAAAATTTAGTAAAATTTTTAATTAATGTTGCAGATGGTGACTACGATTCGTTCATTGGCAAATTATTGACTTTTAAGATGATTGTTAGTGAATTGGGTAAAGAAGGTATGGAAAGGGCTGAATTTGATGATTCTACCACTGATTTAGATTTTTATGTGGATAAGGTAATAATAAGTTTTTTTTTGTCTGTTGCGTATTACTGCAATTCCACTTGTTCTGTACTTGTTATTTTTATTTAAAGGATATGATCGTTATTGCTGATACAAAGGTTGCACGACGTATTGGTGAATATTTCATAAAGCATATTCAAAAATTGCAAGATGTAAGTAAAATTATTTCTGAACAATTTTCTAATTTGTTTAATTTTTATTATCTTTGCGATTAGCATATAATTCTTAATTTTTGAAAATAATCTCGTAATAGCCGATTTTTACGAAATTTTGGAAATTTTAGGAATTTTTCAATGCTTTCTGTAAAAATAATGAAAATGAAAAATTTTCATTTATGTCAGAGGTTTTCGAGTTTTTTCCTCCGAAGACCCTTATGCACTCTTTAAAATTTTTCGCTTTTTTTTCCAATTTAAAACTTCGATATTTGGAATTGAGAATGAAAAGGATTTCTTTAAAACTATTTATTCATTCTTAAAAATAATAAAAAAACCAATTATATATTCGTCTAATGTTATATCTGAAAATTTTTAAAAAATGATGAAGCGAAAATTTTTAATTGCGACAATTTCGCAAATCTGCCATCTATAGTTCAGTTCGCGCTAGTGTCCGACCCTTTTTTTCTTTATTCTCTCTAGAACCTCTATGTCCTTGAATTTCCTGGAACCTTTCTCAAAATTTTCTTAAACTCCTTTATATTCTAATATTTTGAATCCAGTGATATTCTCACACAAAAATTATATTGTTTATCAATGAAAAACAAACTCTGGTGAAGTCGTGGTACCTGTTCCATTTCTGTCTTGCATTCCCTTATGTCTTTAATATTCTCATAAATTTCTTTAGGCTAATTTCGTGGAATGTTCATTTTTTTTTCGAATGTAAAAAATCGTCAAAATTTGGATGCGCAAGCAGATATTCGATCTGCTTTGCTGTTTTTTTCATTTATTCCTTGGGGTTCGAGTTCAGAATCACTAACAGTATCTCTATGTCTTCTCGCTTTTTTCATTTTTTTTACTTTATTATGCGCCACTTTTTCTATACGATAAATATGCCTTGAAAAAATTTTTTCAGGTCAACGCGAAATTGAAAAGTTTAACTATTTAATCGCCTAATTTAAATATGATGGACGACAGCTTTATTTTATCCAATTCCCGAGAGAAAATAGTTTCATATTTTATTTTTGTTGTTGTATTTTTATGAGCGCCGGGGGAATAAAATTTTTTTAAAGCCCATATAGACTGCATCAAATATTTCTGGATAATGCCAAATTTTCTTTAAATTTGGCCTGTTGGGAAGAATTCGTATATTCTGGATTCATCTGTTTTCTTTTTTATAAATATTTTCTTTGAACAAAATTTTCTATTTTGCGAAAAAAAAAATGAGTTAGGCAGCGAAATTTATAATTACTTTAAAAGGAAATATCAATTTGCAATGAAAATGGAAATAATATAATAATAATCATATTAAAGATAAAATTTAATAAAACAAGATCAAATAAATAAAGCAAAAATTTGAGTTTTATTTATTTATTTAAAAATCCTAATGTTGAATCGCACAACTAGCCAAGTACCATTTTCGACTGAGAAGTACCAATTTTAACGAAGTGTCAATTCTTGTGGTCTTATAATTCGATTTCCAACTAAAAAAATCTCATCTAATCTTTTTAGTTGATAAATCAATAGATTTATTGAAAAATTTTATATGTATCCATGCGATAGTAATAATCGGCGTTATGATGACGAATGCATGCATACAAATGCATACATACAAATAAATATCTATTTCGGCTAATTATCGTCTACTAAAAATAAAAATTCCGGTTAGAGCCGAATTACGGCAACGAAATATAAACTCATGCAATTTCACTTATCCAGTTCGATTTTCGATTTTATAAGCATTTATTATCGCTAAATTTGAAAAAAAAAAAAAAATTTTTTTTTTTTTCTGGAAGCGAATTTATTGTGATTTATAAAATATTAGTTAATGAACTTATACGCAGCAATATTCATCGCTTCATTTATTTCGTAAGTTTTATTTTTTTTCTAATTTTATTTTTTGTAATTTTTTATTATTTTTTATTATTTTATAAGTTTATTTTTTATTATTTTCATTATTTTATTTTTTATTATTTTTATTTTATTATAAAATATAAATATGAATATAAATATTAATAAATTTTAATATTAATAATAAATTATAAATTAATAAATTTTTAAATTTTCAAATAAATTCGTTTCGCATTAATTTAATGAATAATTGCAAAATGCTTTAAGAAATTTACTGATTTTTGTTATTTTATGCCGAATTTAAAACTAATTTTGTATTATTATATTATTACATTATATTTTATATATTATTATTATTATATTATATGTATTATTATATTATATTTTTCATATTATTAAATAAAGAAAAATTATTAATAAATGATTTTTATAAAATTTATTCGTACCATTAATTACTGGAATAAGCTGCCGAATAGCGCTAATTTATGCGCTATTCTTACATAATTTTAGAAAAAAAATAAAATAAATATCATCAATGATTCGTTATTTAAAAAATTGTATTTTTGTACTTTTTTTTTAAAAATTGTTTTGTATTTTTTATTATGTAGAAAATTTAAAAATATTACTATAGAAAATTAAAATAGTAGAAAATTTAAAAATTTTATTTTTCTTTCCATTTTTAGTTTAGCTATTTAAAAATATTATTATATCCCTTTTTTTTCGCATTTTTTTTTTCATATTATCTTATTATTATTAATGCAAGCGCATAGCGCGCTTGTCGTTCTGCTTGGTTGCTTAAATTAATTAATTAATTTAATTAATTAAATAAATAAATTGTTTAAATGAACTAATTAATTAAATAAATAATAATTTTCTAAGCTAAATTAGAGATTTGGAAATCTTTGCGATAAATTTCTTAAAATTTATATTTATAACAACGAAAAATAAATCGGTGAGAAAATTTCACCGATTGTTGGACTAAAGTCGAAAATTTGGTCATAAAAAAATGCGAGCAAATTGAAGAATTAAGCGGAATTCCAAAAGAACACAAGAAATTTCATTTAGATTTTAGTATAAATTTGATAAAATGATAATTTAATGATAATGATAATTTTTTGTTTGATTTTATCTTTTTAATATTTTTAATTTAATTAATTAAATTTAATTAAAGAAAAATTTAATATTTCTATATTTTTTGGATATTAGAAATGCTCTAAAATTTGAACTCTTTCTTTGCTGAAAAATTGGCAATATGGCATTATATTGCAGCTATCAGCAAATATTTTTGAAGCTGTCTTGGCTAATATATTTAATATATAAATATATTTCTATATTTATATATATATATATATATATATATTTGTTTTTGTATTTTATATATAAATTTATATTTATTTATGTAAATATGTATATTTTATATTTTTAATTTTACTAATTAAATGGTTTTGCTATTGTTTTGTACCCGCATTATTCATGAAAATACGGTTAATTTCATCATGAAGTCCGCAGTTTTTTTTCATTTTTCCATTCGGATTTTGTAGTTGTTTTTTTGGTCTTTTTCAAAGCCAAAGAATTATTTTCAATATTTTTTTAACTGACGAATCTAACGCAAATGCATGGATGTCAAGCAAAATATTTTTGGCTAAATTTTTGAATTATTAGATAATTAAATTTTTAAATTATCAGAACATAAAATTTGAAATCGTGGATTTATGGCGTCGATAATTGCAATTTTTTATAAAGCCGTGGACCAGAATCGAAAAACCAAACAAGATGTTTCCTACAATTCCAATTAAAACAATATACAATTGATAATTGATAAATATGAATCATAAAATAAGTTTGCAGAATTTAAATTAAAACTGACGAGTGATAACCAATGCATTTTCCGGAAATCCGAGAAATTGAATGCTTGATTGAATTTGCCGAATGTACTATTCACGTGTGGTCTTTTCCTGAGATCTTTCTTTGCGTCAAGACTCAAATCCAAAATAATTTGAAGCACATGAAGTACCATTCCAACTGAACATGAGATAACCTTTATTTGATGGAAACTAAAGATAATCACAAGATGATCAACTAAAGATAAGAAAAATTATCGAAAATTAAACGAATTAAACGATGCTAGTATCCGATAGTTTGAATCAGAATACATTTCAACCTTTACGGTTGAATGGATCACCTAATGATAATTGCCGAACGATTATTAGTTCCTAATAATTGCTTTTTTTATTTTTAACTATTTTATATAAATTATTAAATATTTACATGATATTTATAACTATTATTATATTTATTTTTTAAATATTATAATATTTTATTTATGAATATTATATTTATTATATATATTTATTATTTATTATTTATATATATTTATTATTTATTTGAATTTAAAAAATAGCAAGAAAATTATGCCAAATTTCATATTTAGATATTCACATGCACAGTATTTTGATAGTGGTGCATTCCCTTTGCTACCTGGCTATGGCATGGATATTTGTCGCTATATTTCATGCCCATATGGACAGCAATGTATGAATGGAATGTGTTGGTCAACAGGCACTTCTTCTGGTTCACTTGGTATCGAGGGAAATTATGGCTCCTATAGTCCTTATGCTCTTGGAGGTCGTGGTGCGGATTTATATAATACTGGAATTTCTGCGCTTGGACCACTTGGTGGCGACAGTTCATTTGTTAATTCACAAATTGGCACAGCATCCATGAAATGTAATTAGTTTTCTAAATTTCGATATAAATTTGCTACCATAGAAGTCTTTCTTTCTACTTCTAACCTTATTGTTCCTTTAAATATCTGATTAAAATATTATAAAAATCTATCCATGTAAAATCCATGCAAAGGGTATATATCTAAAAAAAAAATTATCACCAAGCCACTAAGTATCACCATGCTGATCGTGTTTGCTTCTTTATTTCGATCACTCTTATAATTTAATTATCATTTAGCTTGTGTGCTGAATACAGATTGCGATCCAGGTCGAAATTGTGTTTATGGACGATGTGTTTACGGTACGGGAACAGTTATTGTCGGAGGTGAAATTTTTTTTTTATTATACTATAAATTCTCTCCATCTACTTTGATTTTAATTTATTGTAACCTCTGGAAAAAAGATTTCAGATTTCATTTTTATTTGTTTCAATTTCATCGTAATCTTCAATTTTCAATAAGATTTTTTAAAATTTCGAAAAAAATTCTCTATTTTGAAAAAAAATAACTGCAAAAGTTAAAAAATGTTTTTTTGCCAGTTATTCTCTTTATCAAATGATAATAAATAGAGAGATAATGATGATGATAATAATGATAATGATAATAAGTCAATTTAAAATATTGATAAGTACCTTTGAGGTACGAAGCGATGCGATTTACTTCAGCAATGCCTCAATGGTCAAATTTGTGCGAATGGATTCTGCACCCAGAGTAATGTTGCTTTTAGTGGGAGCCAAGTACAACCAGCTGTAACCAGTTCCAGTTTTTTTTGTTCATTTTGTTATTTATGCTTAGAGTTTATATCACTAAAAAAAATCGTCCTACCGAGAAGTAGAAGTAGAATTTTAAGCACCGGCATGATATTTCCTAAGAATCCCTAATAGTTCATCATATTACTCACTAAATCCTTATCGTTCTTGTTCTTCTTCTAAACTTCAGGGAGCTATTTTGTTATTTCCAATAATCATTTGTAATTTTACGATTTATGCTCACCGCTGCGATCCTTAACAGAGCCTTAGGGCAGCATAGTCGACATGGATGGTGTTCAAGAGATTATAACTGAGTTTAATGATGTTAAGATGGCGAAGGAGATATTCTAAGCTTTCTCCAAAAATTTTCAAATAACTTTTATTAATTTTAAAAATTTAAGCACTTAGTTATTTAGCATGTTCGACGGGCGCTCCATGTCCTATTGGTCAATATTGTATCAGCGGAATGTGCATTCGTAATGCATTTACTTCAACATTTGGTATGTAAATTAGCTTTTCCATCTCCATTTTATCCCCATTTGGAACTAAGGTAATTTAGATTATCGAGCCTATCGGTTTTGAAACATAGCTTTTGCTAGGAATAAAATTGTCATTTCAACAAAAAAACTCAACGCTGAAAATTCAAAAGATCCTCAAATGATTTCCTATATTTATAACCAATAGTGTATAACTAAAAATTCACCTTCTTTAGATATACAATAATTTTTTATTAGTTTTTATAGAGTTTTCATTGTTTTCTCCATTTACAGTTCGATAAAATAATTTTTTCATAACCTTTTGAATATAAAAGATAAGAATAAGATAAAATATGATAAGAATTTTTATATTTAAATTTACAAGAAATTTGCATTTTTTTAAATTTTTTGATAATTTTATCAGATTCTTACAATATGTCCTTGCAATATTCTACAAATTTCTATTATTTTTGGTACTACATTATTTTCTCTTGTTTTTCTCTTGTTTGGCTATTCTCTATTGGCTTTCAACTATCCCAAACAGAAGCAATTTATTGAAACTAATACTAATCATTTTCAACTATATAATTAAAAAAAATTAAGTGATCGACATTCATTATTTCTGGTTAAACGCGATCAGTAGAATGAGAGAATTTCGCTAAAAGGGATCATTTGAGAGTTAAAGTATGCATGTTCAGCATGTTATTGAGTATATTCCTCAACTAAAATAAATTATCTGTTAAATTCAAATAGTAGGTAAATTGCGCTTTAGTCTCAGATTTTACCTGTCGTGAATATTAGTCTTTGAAAAAAGGTACTTCATTCTTTTTCCGATGACGGATCAGTATGCTATTTCTTAAGCTATTGCGGAAATACTTATCGGCTATCATCTGTTCTTGAAATTTTCTTAATATTCACAGCAGTCGTATCTCTCCTTATTTAGTTTATTTTATGATATTTTATGAATTTTATGATATTCAAAAACTATTAAAGACTAATTTTTTGGAAAAAAATTTTTTAAGAAAATTTATAATAAAAAAATTATAAAAAAATGGAAAATTATAAAAAATATTCAATAAAAACTCCTTTATTTTATGGTTACTTAATAATAATAATAATAATAATAATAATAATAATAATAATAATAATAATAATAATAATAATAATAATAATAATAATAATAATAATAATAATAATAATAATAATAATAATAATAATAATAATAAATAAATAAATAAATAAATAAATAAATGAATTTTTATTTCACAATCGCTTGTATTCTATAAAAACTTATAAAGCACTCATAATTTTTAATTTTCATATTTTCTTTATTATTTCGACGAGATCCTCTGGCCAAAGAATTATTTGAGAATAGAGGCATAATTGGGTCGACGGCAACTATTTTATTAAAAAATCAATGCTCTTTGCCTTTAGTCGAAAAGATAGATGTACCACAGGTGAAGATAGAAAAATGAAGTGAAGTTAGATTGCCAATGATTTTTGAAACGTTTGCTCGATTTAGGTAATCTAATCTATGTAAATCTGTGCATATTTCTTCAAAGTCAATAGTTGTCAAAAGTTTTTTTTTCCTATGGATCGCCTGGATTCTGTCATTAAAATTGCCAAGTTTTGAAATCATCATATATTTGTTAGAAAGAAAATTTTTCCACCTAAGATTTGGTATCATAATAAATTACCCATCGGGTGTGTCGATGGCTCAGTGGCAATTGTCATCGAGAATCGTTTTATGGGTTCGAATTCGTCGTTAAACCACTCTTCATTCTGCACCAGTGTCGCCTAACAGAGAAAAGGAAAGGAGAATAGAATGGCTTAGTGGATTTTTACTTCATATAGATGCATTGTGAAATATAACTGTGCTCTTTGAAAAAATTTTTTTCATTAAGAATAATTTATTGTTCTAGTACATAAATTTTTTTAAAGGACCTTCACCATTACTGGTTAGACTCATTCCGTTGGCTTGCTTGCTGCACTAGACAAATGTACCAGGAAATCCCTTGGCGATAGAAATACAGGTGAGTCAATAGCATCACTCGGATTTCTGGATAGGCTTACTGCAGTGAGGAGTACCTTCTCCGGATAATAACCCACTAAGCCATTCTACTCTTTAACATGTAATTAGAATTAAGCTCTTTTATATCTCATTGACTCACCTTGGACCACTAAAGGTCCATAGAGATGATTATTTGGTGCTTTAGAGTTTTTAAATATATATTCGAAATAAATATCAATAAGTTATTCATACTATTAATATTGGTTTATGATAAATTATAAATTTTAGCCTGCTCATTTGGCGTATGCCCGTCGGGAATGATTTGCCAGTTGGGAAGATGTATGAGTGCTGGATTCTACGGTAAAAAGAAATAATCATTTTTTATGTTTTCCCATATTTTTGTATCGATGTTCATATAAATCAAATTTTTAATTTGTGATTCACATTGAAATTAATTAACAATGGTTACAATCGATCGTAATATTGCTTGTTATATGTGAAAATTGTGAAAATTTTATACAAATAAACATAAAATAAAATTTTCGCATTGATAAATTGATAAATAAATTTTTCAAAATATTGTAAATATTGCATAAAAATTTGAAAATTTTATAAATCAAAAACAAAAAATTTAATTTAATATTATGCAAAAAAAAAAATTGAAAATAATATTCGGAAGAACATTTATAATTTATAATTTTACAATTTAATTTAAATGTTATCAATTTTTTAATTTTTAAAATTTTACAATTTTATTTTACAATTAAATTTTACAATTTAATTTGTTATCAGTTTTTTTAAAATTTTTAAATTTTAATTAATGAGAATTTAATGGGAATTAAAAATGGGCACCATTTTTATAAAAATCTCCTTTATATCCACAAATATTCATTATTGTAGCGAGTTGATGGAATGGATGGTGGTGGCGATGCTGCTGGTTTAGCAGCTGAATAACTTGGTAATTGAGTAGCTGGAACTTTCCGTTGATATGCTTGTTGACTAGGTTCAACTTCACCGTACTGCTGCTTTTTTTCGACAGTTTGCAGTGGACTTTAAAATCCAATAGTAAAAAAGGAAAAATAATATTTGCATGAATTTCATAATTTAATTTAAATTTGATCGATTTGACTTTATTTTAAAATTAATAAAAAAAATTAAAACATTGGAAATTAGAATTAAAAATTAAATATTGAAAATTAAAATCAAAAAAATTAAATTAAAATTAAAATAAAAAATTTTAATTAAATTAAAATTAGATTTTAAAATATTAAATTAAATAAATTAAATCTTTATTTAATAATTTAAAATATTCTCTGATTGAAAAGATTGAAAATGGACAATATATTTACAAATAGCTCATCTATATCTATAAATATTCTTAACCATACCGAGTAGATGGCGGTTCCACTGGTTCAGCGGCTGAATAACTTGGCAGTTGGGTAGCTGGAATTTTCTGACGATACGTTTCTTGATTAGGCTGAGCTTCACCGTACTGTTGAACTTCTTCAACAGCTTGTGGCAAACCAGATTTTCTTTGACCTGTAAGCGGAAATGGTTATGAAGTGGCCATTTTAATAGCTAAAATAATTGTATAATGTCGTAGGGTCCATCTTTGGCAAAGTTAAAGAAGGATTTTAATTAGAGAAAATGCAAAATTAGTAAAAAAGGAAAATTTACCTTCACAGTGAGCACATGAGCCTGGATTACCCGGCATACCTATAGGTCCTGCTGGACCTGGCAGACCCTGTTCACCGGGATTTCCTCTGTAATCATTGCATATAATTATTTGGATACAATTTAGAAAATTCCATAAATTTTGATAAATGATGATAAATGATATAATAAATTATAATTCTGGATGTCGATGATTATCCTGAGCAATAAAAAAACTTGCCTATCACCTACCACTCCCCGAACACCTTGAGGACCAGCCAGTCCTGGTTTACCATCATGACCTGGAAAATGCATTTATTGCTTAAATGATTCAATTCAAAATTCAATACGATAAAGAAATTTTACTAAAAATAATATGCGATTGATACCTCTTCCACCAGGTACTCCACGTGGTCCAACTGGGCCTGGTGGTCCAACTGGTCCAGGGGGTGCACCATTTAGTACTTTTCCACGATCTCCTGTAGGTCCTTTCGGTCCAGGAGGACCAGGTTCTCCTCTTAGTCCTGGAGGCCCTGGAGGTCCAGCACGACTAGCTCCTCCTGAACGGCCTTCTTGGCCTGGCCTCCCAGGCGATCCTCGTGCGCCTTTCGGCCCCGGAAGCCCTGGCGGTCCTGGTGCTCCTGGTGGGCACTGAAATAAATAACTAATTGAATATAACTTCGAAATTGAAGGCACAACATAATTCTTTATTCTGCGATTTTATTTATATTTAATTTCTATATATTTTTATATTTTATTTTACATACTAGGTATATAGGAAGTAGAATTAATAGAGAATTAAAGAAAATATTACACTAATGGTCCATAGACTTCGATGGTACACCTAAGCTGGGGAGGGGGGAGGAAGGAGGGAGGTATAGTGGAAAGAATTTTGACACTCAAAAAAATAAAAAATAAACATTTAAAAAAATAATTGCAATCTTACTTTTTGACATGCGTTTTCACTACGCGATGGAGCCGGCAAGTAAACACCATCTCTTCCTTTCCCCCCATCTTCGCCTGCATCACCATCCGATCCTAAAGGTTTTATTTCTGTACAGAAAGAATTCATAATAAATTAAAAACATTCATATCATTTCTCATCATTTATTTAATTATATATTATTTTAATTATTGTATTATTTTATCATTTATTTATTTAATTATTTAATAAATGAGATTTCCGATAAGATAGATGATAAAGGAATGGCTTTTAGTTGTGAAGTAGTGTAGTGCTGGAAGGAAACGTTTCAGCTTAGCGGTTAATGGAATTAGCTAAAGTAGTATGTCTAAATGTTAGCAGGGAATTTGATTGGGCATGAAATATTAAATAATCGGAAAATAAATGGCTTAAATAAATAAATAAAACGCACCAGGGAGTCCATCTTTTCCAGGATTACCACGTAGTCCTGGAGGACCTTGTGAACAAGCGCAGCAAGCATTTCTTACTAAGCCAGAAGATTTTGAAGACCAGGATTGTCTTATTGTTCTAGATTTTCCATTAACAAACGCCATTTGCTTCCAAATATCACGCGATTCCATCTATATAATAAGAAATAATTAGTTAAATTATTGAATGATCAAATTAGAAATTAGTATTTTATCGCGAATGGTTCCATTCATTATTCTCGAGTATCTTTCAAATAATTTAAGTAGCTTTAAAGTAAGTTATTTCTTTCTTTATCTTAAACAAGAGTAAATCTGAGGTGAGGCTACTGGGGATCGAGCTATATCTCCATACTTAACTGAATCTGTGGAAGAAGAGTCAAAGAACCTTCAAACGAATCTGCTGTATATATATATATATACATGGGTCCGGAAACAGACGGTGCAATAGTGGACTACTAAATTATCTAATTGAAGGGAGTCTTAAGGAAATCTGATAAATGCCATCCAGTGAATGCTGCGTGGAACGCTTGTAGATATAGAACTTAGGCGTTATTATTATATCCAAATATTATGTGAATATAACTTAAAGTAAGATAGCGGAGATTCTTGCTGTTTCCAGTTCCAGAGCAACACCTACAGCGAGAACTATTGCAATAATGATGGACAACTCAGTGTGAAATGAAATGTCGGGAAATTATCTACCTTCGACCATGTCTAGGGCGCATTCTGCATGACCATCAAGCGCTTTCACTTGATTTCACCCACTTTCATTTGCATTAATAATAATATGATCGTCCAAGATGGTTAGGCCATATTCTTCGCCATCCTATGATAAAGAGCGAAGAAAAAAAAGAACCAGCTAAGACACGGGAGTGATACGATAACTGATACGAGGTGAGATTTTGTGCTGGAAAGAGGGCTCAACATTATTGATATGGGCTTCTCAAATATGACATATTATATTACTCGAACTGCTAAACTGCTTCTAGCTAAGCCAATGATGCATATAGAAAAAGAAGAATCGAAGATGTCGGAAATAAAATATTTAATATATATATTTTAATATATATAATATATATAATTATATATTAATATATATATATATATATATTTAATATATATTTAATATTTTAATATATATATAATACATATAATTATATATAACATATATATTTAATATATATATATTAATATATTAAAATATTTAAGCTTAATTGTGTGATAAAATTTAAAAAAAAATGATAAGAAAGGCACTAACCTTACATAATTCAACATGTGATAGCATTATTGATGAAACTTTTTGAATATGAAAATGCATGAGTGGTAGTAATACGATTAATAACATTAAAGATACTGTACTACATATTGTAGCAAATATAGTCGCACGACGAGAAGATGGTAACATGGTGATGGTATTTATTTCCTTCAAAAGTGTCGATTTTATCAAAAATTCAACCAATGAATTTTAATTTTGATAATTCTTATAATTGATAATTAATTTTAATAAAAAAAGTTAACTATTAATTTTAATATTTCTTACTCAAAAAAATTTTTTCTCAATTACCATGATAGTGATAATGATAATGGTAAATGATAAAGAATATATGAATATACGAAATTGTTGAATTGTATTATTGAATGGAAGAATTTCGATAAATTTCGATTACTACATTCTAACGATTTTTATTTTTTATGAAAAGTTGAAATTCTCGTGGTACTCATCTGTCTTCTAATGCTATCGCCATCAAGCGAAAAAGTCTCATTCTTCGAAATTCGATAAATTTGTTAGTTTGCGGAAACTATCAGAAATGGTGGCATAGAAAACGTATGAAATATTTCAAATTTACAATTAAAAAATAACCAATGAAAAAAAAATAAACAAATAAAAAATAAAATTTATTTTTAAAAAATTGTGTGAGTTTAATCATTTAAATCCATTGAATAATAATGGCTAAAATATTAAATAAATTTATTAAAATAAATTTATATAAATTTATATATATATATATAGCAAAGACAAAGGATCCGAAGTGAAATTATCCATTCCAACCAAAGCGTCTAAAAAAGAGATGTTTTTTTAATATTTGTGGTACATTAAAGAAAAACAAAAGGTTTGATTAGATTCACGAATTTTCTTTTTTGCTTATCTTAACGACCTACCAAACCTCGTAAAATACACTTATATCGCGATTTCAAATAACAAAATAATTATAAAAAAGGCAGTAGTGAATAAAAATATTAGAGGAGCCAGGAAGTAATTAGAGAAACTGGTGGGTATGAAAATCAGTGCGAATCAGAGCAACAATTCGAGGAAGAGAGATTTTTTAAGGAAGTTTGTAATGAAGTTTGAAGAAATATCAGTGGGAAATATATAAAGTTTGAAAAACCTTTTTGCCCAACTATGCTTAAATATCAATAAAGTTTCGATTATCAGCTAATGATAACAAATCACCTATTTTAAAGAACGAATATTGAATCGCTAAATGAATAAAATCAAATACGAGATATTCATTCATTTGATTGACCTATTTAAGGATTTTTTTTAAAAAAAACAAAATAAAAACTAGGTTAAATTAAAATTTTCGAGATTCAAATGAAATATTCGAGAAAAAATTCTAATTGATTTTAAAAGAATTAAAAATTATACATAAAAAAATTATACATAAAATAAAATTAAACAGAAAAATTTTAATATTAAAAATATCAATATCAATAGATAATTGATAAAAATATAGATCAATATCTATTATCAATAGATAATTGATAATAGATAAAAATATCAATAGATAATTGAATCATGAAAATCGTATAGGTTGGTGATAAATTTTTAGGAATTTTAAGGAAATTGGGAAAAAAAAATTTTTTCACATATCGTGTACCTTGGTTCATCTTTAACATGCATAATTCTCTTACAAAATAGATGATTTTCACCAAAATATATGCACAAAAATTAATTTTTATTATATCATAAAAATGTATGAATTTGTTTCCTAATTTGTATAATCCTTTAAAATTTTAAGACCTCAACAAAACAGTAAAGAAAATATTTCTATAATTTATGTATTGGAATGATTTCTATCGAAAATATATTATTAATGGTGATAAAATGGTGATAAAATTCTTTTATCTTTTAACATTGGACACATTTTAGTTACCATATCACCTATCGTCGCAAGAAATCGAATTCGATTTCTGTGCAAATAACAAATAACAAATGAATAAGTTTGATTATTATGAAAAATGCAATCCGTTCGATTGTTCGTTCCTCTCTTTAGATAATTAGCGAAAAAGTTTCCGAGTGATCGTAACTAGACAAGCAAAAAATGATTTATTTTCCAAGAATTTATCAAGAATTCAAAATGATATAAATGGATTTGTGATAACTGGCGTTCACCATTCTTCTGATAAATTTCGCTTAACTGTTAAAATAAGAGATTCTTAACAATTATTCGCTTAATCAAAGGCAATTCGCCATTTGAATACATTGGATTTTCTTGCTAAATATTTGCATTGGATTTTTTAATTAAAAAACTGATTCTTCTCGAGATTTTTTGTTTTTTTAAGAATCCTCACCATTATTGATTAAACTCGCTCCACTGGCTTATCGCATTGAACAAACAAATATGCCAGCGAGTCGCTTGGCGATAGAAATACAGTCAGGTGAATCGCCAGTATCACTCAGCGCTATCTTTTCGAAATTAGAAATTAAGCACTTATATCGAAATTATTCACTATTCTAATTCTTAAAAAAATCTATTAATCTATTCAAAATTTAATTTAAAATTTAAATTTAATCGCTAATAGAAATGAAATATATGCAGGCGAAAAATTTTCGAAATATAAATTTGAACAATTCATCAATAAGAAAAAAGAATTTTGTTGTAAATTTAATTTAAAATAAAGAGGTCAAGGCGATCAACAATATGTAATATAAGAAAAAAAAAGAAATTTATAAAAAAATTTAAACTGGAAATAAAATCAATATAAAATCAATCGCTTTATTTTCTTCGATTATCTTTTATCAGTTTATCAGATCATCAGATTATCTTCTAATAGCTCCCACCATTACTGGTTAGGCTGGCCCCAACTACAAGGAAGCTACAAAGATAAGACGCTTTCAAGAGGCGTGGTCTGATGTCATTGTCGATAGTAATAGAAACCATACCTTTTTCCATCATCTAAGTCCATATATTGCTGATCCACCTACACGTTTTCTGATCGTATTAGTTCAGGTTGAGCCATTTGAGCATTTGGATTGATAATTTGTTGATAAGATATGAGATTATATGATATGATAGTAAGAATAATCACAGCTAGACAATTAAATCCCAATTCAAATGAAAAATCTTTAAATTATGCTCCTAGAAAAATAAAACAGTAGTCACCAAAATTTTTTCCAGAAACTTCATAGATAATACTATGAAAATCCATTAATTTCCAGTGTTTTTAGAATTTTAAAATATTAATTATATTCTTATCGCATTCTATAAGATTATTGGATTTTTAGATACCATAGATTCTAGGTTATTATACCCATTCTCTGATAGTTATGGATTCTAGGGGAGTCTACATTCATTCTCTGAGAATCCTGTGGATCCTAAGGGATTATTTGACTGATAAGTTTAACGACGACTATGTTTAATGCAGTGAAAAAATGAAAAATGAAAAAAGAATGGTGCGGAACTAAATTTCATTTTCCTAAGAACTATTAGTATGAATGGATATGTACTATTGTAATATTAGAACAAATCGGCTAAAATCCAAGTGGATTTATATTTTTTGCCCATTCAAGACGAGAAAACGAAAAGTAGAGTTTGCATGAGAATCACCTCAAACCAATCGTTCCCAGCACTTCTATTCTTCGAGTAGATCTCTCCACTGGATGCGAAATTTCCAAACGTCACTTCCGGTCCTGCTGAAAAAGCTGAAAGCATGAGAACCACCTCAAATCGAACGTTCTCAGCACTTCTATTCTTCGAGTAGATCTCTCCACTGGATACGAAATTTCCAAACGTCACCTCCGGTCCTGCTAAAATAGCTGAAGCTAAGCCACTCCAATTTTCCATCGTCTAAATTCATATTTATTCAGTAGAATAAATTTAAAAACTGGATTCTTAAAGCATTTTTCTTTGGCAAATAGCCAGAATTTTGATATTTTTATATTTAAATATTTTTTGGTGTTTTTTGGTGTTATTTTGGTGAATATTTGGTGCTTCAGTCTTGGTGAATATTTTTTGGTACTTCAATTTTATAGTTTATTTTTGTTTTGATACGGTACTATTTGGTTTATGGCATTTCGAGGTGATTATTTTGCTAAAAAGTCATTGATTAATTTAATTTGTTTGAATTGCCGCATCTTTGATTTCGCAGTGATTTATTTTTGCCGAAATTTATTTTTTAAAGATTTTAAAAATTTTTAAACCATTCTATTCAACGAATATTTATTTTAGGATATTTATTATTATTTATTATTATTATTTTTTATTATTTTTTAAAATCATTTTTTACGATTTTAATTTACGTTATTCAATTTTTTAAAAATTATTTTTAATTTTTAAAATATTATAATAAATAATTTAATAATTAAATAATAAATTTTATAAATGAAATGATAGTTAATTTTAATAATAATTAATTTTAATAATAATTAACCTTTATTGCACTGAGGTCGTTCTTGTGTTCCTTAATAATTAATAATAATTAATTAATTAATTTAATATAAATTTAGTAATTAAAATTTAATAAATTGAATAATTCAATAATTAAATAATAATAAATAATTTAATAATAATTAAATATTTAATTTAATAATTAATAATAATAAATAATAATAATTAATAATTTAAACATTTTCCTAATGGATTTTATAAATCTACACTATTGTCTTTTTTTTTTCTTTAACCTATAAAGCTCATTCATTAATAGAATATAACGAAAATTATGGGGCATTTGTTGGCGCCTTTATTGCACTGAGGTCGTTCTTGTGTTCCTTTTAGTTGAGGTCGATTAGGCTTCATTATGCTTATTTGCAGGTTTGGTACTTCCATATTATTCATTGTTATTCGTCATTTTTCATATCTTCTACATTTATATATTTTTGTTATATATTTGTCTTAATAAAATAAAAATTACTTCATGTTCTGTCGGTAGAATATTCTGTAAAAATTTAGTCTTTTTATAATGCATTATTAGACTTTATTTTTCCTCTATCCCAGGGTTTTTTTTTATGTCTATCGCCTGAAATTTTTTTTTCTTGCTTCAGTAGTCCGTAGAGGAGTTTCTATTTGATGTTTCTATATTAGCTATTCTGTTTTCTTTGAAGTACCAAATCATAATCGCATCTGATTACCTCAAGTCCCTTTCGCTATATTTCGTTTACACATTTTTCCAAATTTCTTTCATACAACTACTTTCATACATCCT